AGACTAAAGAAAATCTGGAGTTCAGAGCTGAACGCTCGCAATAGAGTCAAAGCCACAAATACTTATGCTGTGCCCGTCCCTTCGTATTGGTTGATGCATGTCATCGATCCCAATTGCGTGGATCGATGCTCATGACATTAATCACTGGATTGTCTGGTCCAGACTCGATTATTTACAGACCGCCGTCATATAGCTGGAATATTGCTGAGTGCGGCGTTAAACAACAAACCAACCAACCAACCCTTCGTATTCTTTTGGTGTTGTTGATTGGACGAAACAAGAAATTCAGGGTATTGACACCCTCACACGAAGAATCATGTCAGGCAATAGATCCCACCACCCTCGCTCTTCCCTCAATCGCTTATATTTACCAATTATGATGGGAGAGCGTGGTTTGATTAATGTGGAGGCTCTTTATGATAGAATTGTTTTGTGCACTTTTGCACACATTTTACAGATGCTGTAAAAAGACCAACTCACTCACTGAATGTTTCTTCTATAAGCACTTCTTTGTTCTCTATTTTTCTTGACACGGCCCCAGGGGTCATGGTTCGTTCCTTTACATTGATCACGACATGCTCAGATGCACGATCCATCATCTACACTACTACATCATGCTTACAAAGAGCGCGTTGTTACTCCTCGTTGGCATGCGATGTATTTGATTGTACTGTTCCTCACGATTAATACTCTCATTGAACATCTCTGGGTCACGTTTGTCGGCAAATTTAACTTTTATTTTGACAACGACGGAAGTTCTTGTAGAAATGTCTGGAGGACGTTCCTTTTTGTGTGTTGGCTTGTGAGTGAGTATGGTTTTACGCCGCTTTTAGCAAAATTCCAGCAAAATCACGGCGTGGCAAGAAATAGGCTTCACACATGTGGGGAATCGAACCTGCGCCTTCGATGTGACGAGCGAACGCTTCAACCACTAGGCTACCCCAACGCCCGTGTTGGCTTGTCTTAAACATCATTGTCCCCTAGAATTCTCACAACGTCAACATAACGTCGCTGCTGGAGTATTCAGTAGGATATGGGACTATGCGAGACTATTTTCAAGGGTGTTGCATTGTATACGGCAATGCAATGGTGACTCAGTGGTATGTTTTGTGGTCTGAATTTGTTGCGCAGAGTGGAAAGGATTCATATTGTGCTTCGAATACACATTTGCCTGAATGTGAACCTGAATGGGTGAACCTGTCATCGCTTTGAGCAGTATTGCAGATGTAGTACGGCGAGTGAGTGATGTGTGAGAAGTAAGCCTAAAGTGCCCAAGGTACAAGGCACCACCTGTTGTTTCTCTCGTGTATTAATCGTTAGAAATTGTGAGGGTGTCGATACAGGTAATTGTGAGGGTGTCGATACAGGTAATTGTGAGGGTGTCGATACAGGTAATTGTGAGGGTGGCGATACAGGTAATTGTGAGGGTGTCGATACAGGTAATTGTGAGGGTGTCGATACAGGTAATTGTGAGGGTGTCGATACAGGTAATTGTGAGGGTGTCGATACAGGTAATTGTGAGGGTGTCGATACAGGTAATTGTGAGCTTGTCGATACAGGTAATTGTGAGATTGTCGATACAGGTAATTGTGAGGGTGTCGATACAGGTAATTGTGAGGGTGTCGACACAGGTAATTGTGAGGGTGTCGATACAGGTAATTGTGAGGGTGACGATACAGGTAATTGTGAGGGTGACGATACAGGTAATTGTGAGAGTGTCAATACAGGTAATTGTGAGGGTGACGATACAGGTAATTGTGAGGGTGACGATACAGGCAATTGTGAGGGTGTCGATACAGGTAATTTTGAGGGTGACGATACAGGTAATTGTGAGAGTGTCGATACAGGTAATTGTGAGATTGTCGATACAGGTAATTGTGAGGGCGTCGATACAGGTAATTGTGAGGGTGTCGATAAAGGTAATTGTGAGGGTATCGATACAGGTAATTGTGAGAGGACATTTAACTGTGAGAGTGTTGCTACAGGTGAATGTAAGAGCGTTGACACAGGTAATTATGAGAGTGTCGACACAGGTAATTATGAGAGTGTCAACACAGGTAATTGTGAGGGTATCGATACAGGTTATTGCGAGAGAACATTTAATTGTGAGAGTGTTGCTACAGGTAAATGGAAGGGAGTCGACAGTGTCGACACAGGTAATTGTGAGGGTATCGATACAGGTAATTGTTAAGGTGTCGACACAGGTAATTGTGAGAGTGAAACGAAGCAGATCAGGAATGTTCGAAGATATAGAAAACGTCTAACGTGTAAATCACCTGTTGTCTTTTCCAAAACACCCAACGCATCTCATCATTAGGCGGTGCCCTGTAAGCTGTGCGTATGTTCCTCGGCAGGGACATTAAGCACTGGTTAGAACAACACATGCCTCGCAGGGTCAGGGGGGCACACGACATCGTGCCTGGCGCTCGCTAGGGGGGGGGGGGGGGTAGTGTCATGTAATGTTAGTCACCGTGTGCATGAGATGCTTTGTGAACTAATGTACAGAACGTATGACCTTCTCCAAATGTTTGTCTATTCTGGGCGGATCCTTCCCACGAGTACCTGTCTGATTTCATGACTCTCCCCTCAACTACCAAACCCTAAATATAGTTACCTATAGTTTTAAGTAAATCAGTCTATTATTATTATTATTATTAGTTGTTGTAGTTATAGTAGTAGTATTGTTGTTATTATTATTGTTGTTGTTGTTGTTATTATTATTATTATTATTATATACAGATTGAAATATAAAATACAGCAAAGAGGGTGTGGGTGATCCTGGCACAGTCAGGCTGCTTAGGTTCATCATCAGCTCTACACGTAGCCCAGACAGCGAATGGGACTTCCGAGAACTTTTCGGAGAATGTGAAGACCTCCCCAACACTGCAGCCTTCTGCATTACCCAGATTGTCAGATGGGCTGTATTCTTCGTAACAAACCCGGGTACTCTCCCAATGTCAGTCACTAGTTAGGGAGGTACCAAACCTAAGGCACCGAGAACAATGGGAAGTCGGACATCTTGGTACTTGCGATACAAGCATGACATTTCGATGGCGAGGTCCGCATATATGCCATGTTTTTCCTGAATCTTGTCAATCACATTAGTGTCAAAAGTGACAGAAAACTCAATGATATTAAGGATTTCATCGGATTTATCAAAACGGACAAGATCAGGTTTGTTGGTCTGTATAGGCCTGTGGCTGTATACGAGCCTATTCCAAAGAATTTTGTATTTATCATTTTCCATGACGCCCTCTGTATATTCTGGGTCGTACCATGGATGGACCTCTGTGTCAAAACCACAAGCTTGACGAAGACGGTAATAAAAAGGATCGACCCACTCCATCATGACGCTTAGGATACTGAGTTTGTGCCCAAACTGGGCATCCACTGACAATGTGTTGGACAGTCTCATTAAATTCATTGCATATTCTACATTTCATGTTTACATTCTGATGCAAAATAACACATTAGCGGTTTCGAGAGGGAAGTGACTGGTCCTGAGCAGCAAACAGAAAGCCTTACGTCACTATATACGTGTTTTTGTCAGTATTTCCGAAGAAAGTTGCGGACAAACAGCAAATTTATGTTACGTCTATATGGCATATATCAGCGCGAGGGGCCGTTACCTGTTCGTTGAATATTCATTATACCCCCAGGCAGACACGCGTAACCGTCAAGGTCATTAGCTACAGCGCATGCGTACTCTGCTCGGCCTTGGAGGCGTGCATGTAATAGTGTAGGAGGTCGGGCAAGTTACAAGCGTGTTTGATAAATGACGGTAAACTCAGACTGCATACAGCCACATTCTCCTACACGAGGACGAGGGCCAGTGCACATTGATTATTGATCCTTAATTATTTTGATCAAATGTGAAGAGCTGTCGGATGATTATTTTCGACGTGACGTCATAAAGATTTTTAAAAAATCAAGATTAAGAAGCTGCGTATGTATGCATTGTATATATTGTCAGTGAGATGGAGTTATCTCCACTGTGAAAAGTGTGTCAGTTTTAACAGCTTTAGAAGGGAGGAGGAAAATGTGCAGTGCAGCTTAATAAGGGAGGAACATCGCCAGAACAGCTTAATAAGGGAGGGAAATCTGTTGTACAGCTTAATAAGGGAGGAAAATCGTCAGTACAGCTTAATAAGGGAGGAAAATCTGTTGTACAGCTTAATAAGGAAGGACAATCTGTAGTACAGCTTAATAAGGGAGGAAAATCGTCAGTACAGTTCAATAAGGGAGGAAAATCCAAAGTACAGGTTAATGTAGCAGGAAAATGTGTGCTGCGAAATCCAAAATGGAGCACATCGCATGTTTACAATCCGCTCGGAAATAAGACAAATTTTCAAAACAAATCTACTGGGAAGATGAATACGACACCTGGTACCTATATATAGATTACAAAAAGAACATCCACTTTGTTTATTCTGTAGTTGATAAATGTAAGTAGCAACCACATCCTGTGGATGTGGAATTGAAACATTCCCCGTGTCAGTACGTCCAGTGAGATGTATGCGGCTCTCTGGCAAATAGGACCCTTCACATGCCACCGTGATAAACAACATCTGTTTAGACTGCTCAACACAGAGAGATATTTTGTACGGCCGTGCCATACATATGTTATACCGATTCATACCTCAATGAACCGAAAAATACACACAGTCAATTCTTAAATAAGGGGGCACGGGTGGCCCAGTCGTCTAAGGCGCCGCGATTCGCTGTGCAGAGTTGCGTCCCTTGGGCACGCCAGAAACCTATGGTTGTGGGTTCGAATCCAGGTTCGCCCCAATTATGTTTCTAGGTTTGTCAGCACCATACCCGTGATCGTGGGTTTCACCGAAGTGGTAAACGTCTGAAACCTGCATCACTTCGGGCTTTCCTCCTACATTAAGCTGACACGCCGCGATATGACTGTCATAATGTTAAAAGCGGCGTTAAACCCAACTCACTAACTCACTCACTCAATTCTTAAAAAAATATGAACATGTCTATTGCAGCCTGGGTCCTCTGCCAAACGCCCCTCCCCCACTGATCCCCATCGACCACCAGCGATGCGTGGCCTTGAAGAAGGAGACGAACCTCGTGAAGGTACCCGTGCCCTATTTCTGCCACCCCCAGGACATGACAGGAATCCCCGTGCCGAGCGTCATCAACCCCAAGATCACTCTGATGGTCATGAGGCTTCAGTGGTAAGTAGATTTCTGATTCTAGAAGACTTTAAAATGTCAGCTACACAAAATAATGTATGTGTTCAAAGGTGAAAGGGAACGATCACCAGATCTGTGAACTGTGAGTCGTATGAAAACGAAGCCATGGGAATCGCCCATCTATGCTAAACACATTTCTCTCCTACAAACACATGAACCGATTTTTCTACAAAACCAGAAGCCAAAACTAAACACTCACATTATAACGTCTGTCGACTCTCATTCGACTTGGCGTGAAGGTGTCCATGTACAGGCCATCTATATGAATACAATAGTAACAGTAGCAGTAGCGACCCGTGAAGATCCGTGGTAGAATTGGCCTCCCGCAACCCATGCTTACCGTAAGAGGCGACTAACGGGATCGGGTGGTCAGGCTCGCTGACTTGGTTGATGCACGTCATCGATCCCAATTGCGGGGATCGATGCTCATGATGTCAATCACTGGATTTTCTGGTCCAGACTAGATTATTTACAGACCGCCGTCATATAACTGGAATATTGCTGAGTGCGACGTTAAGCAAAAAAAACACCAAATTAATAGTGGTAGTGATAGTGGTAGTGATGTGGTCGGCCCTATCATATGACCTCGTGATGATAAGACGGCTACAACGTGTTTATTCCGTATACTAGTACAATCTGCCACACAGCCACACACACACACACACGCACACACGCACACACGCACACTGTAATAAGCGCTTGAAGGCGGCACTGAACTCCATGTCACAACCTCTCCATTGCCTCTGCTTCTCCCCTCAGGAGCGGCTACAGGATGTGCACCCGTCAGATGTCGCTGCCCACCCACAGATACGTCCCCGTGCCCGTGTGTTGTCCAGGGTGGAGGAAAAGTCCCTCTGGAAAGTGCGACACACGTGAGTCAGACAACGCTCAGCTTCTTTCGTGAATCCTCGTCTCATTCCGGTACAAGCCGAATGACGGCTCGTGTCCACTCGTGGACAGTCAATCAACTTGGTTCAGTCTTCGCGTAAGACGGCAAAGAGAAAACAAACAGTCAATTCGTTGACCATATGCGACATAACTTTGTATAAATGTACATTGATGTTTCCTGAACATAACACGACTGACATTCACAACCTCTTTTTGTTCAGGCGACTGACGGGATCGGGTGGTCAGGCTCGCTGACTTGGTTGATGCGTGTCATCGTATCCCAATTGCGTGGATCGATGCTCATGATGTCAATCGCTGGATTGTCTAGTCCGACTCGATTTTATCCTGACCGCCGTCATATAGCTGAAATATTGCTGAGTGCGGCGTTTAACAGCAAACAAACAAAGAACAACAATTATAACATTACTTCTCTCTCCTCAGCGACCCGCGTGCCTCCCCCATCTCAGAGGGGTCCATGCCTCAATGGAGGATTCCCAAGGAAGGGTAAACATTGCTGCATCTGCCCCACTGGCTTCTCGGGGGCCTTCTGCCAAAACAGATCCCCTGCCGCACCACGGAGCACGCTGGCATCGATAAGCCGGGGACCAATTGTCAGACCCCCGATGATGAGGCTCCCAGGTGCTGCCCTACCCCTGAACCGACCTGATACCCACCTTGGTCGTCTCATCAGGAAGCTGGCCCGACTCTCGCCATCGGGAAGAGGTCCTCTGCCGATCAATCCAACTCTAGTCAGACTGTTGATGGCTCGAAAACAGGGCAGGAGACAGAGCATTGATACCCCAACACCCATGAACAATCCTAAGGGGCTGTCTCCTAGGCCTACTGTAAACACCGCTTACATCAACCAGGTCCCCCGGGCACCAGCGTCACCCCCCAAGCCAGTAGTCAATACAGCCTATATCAACAAAGTTCCCCAGAACCCTAACCCAGCTGCCCGACCTACTGTCAACACTGCCTATATAAACCAGCTCCCTAAAAGAGGTAATGTACCGAACATAACACCAAATGTTGCGTATATAAACCAGCTCCCTAAAAGAAATAATGTGCCCAAACTAACACCAAATGTTGCGTACATTAACCAGCTCCCTAAAAGAGGTAATGTGCCCAAAATTACACCAAATGTTGCGTATATAAACCAGCTTCCCCAGCGACAAAGGCCAGTAGTGAAGCCACCTCTTAACATTGCATACATCAACCAGCTCGTCCCTCCAAGACCGACCAGAATCACGGTCAACACCGCCTACATCAACCGTCTCCCGAGGCCCGACGGCAGAAACGTCACACCTACCACAAACACGGCGGCCATCAACCAACTGCCCAAGGTGTACAGACTTCCGGTTCAAGCTCCCGCACAAACGGCATACATCAACCGCGTCCCATCAATCCCACTGATGAGGGGGGGGCCACTCGTCAACACTGCCGCCATCAACAGGATCCCACCCAACACCCCTCGTCCAGTGATCGCTCCACCCGTTGTCATGCCAACCAGACTTGGAATTCGACCAATGGTGAACCCAGCTGCGGTCAACCAACTTCCTCCACGAACCCAGGAGCCGGACATCGAAGAGCCAACGGTCAGTCCTATGATGCCAAAGTCCAACCCTGTAGGAGCTGCCCCGGCCAGAGTTGGAACCCCAGAGGGGTCATCTCACAACCAGCCTTCTATGGGTGACCAGCCTTCTATGGGTGATCAGCCTTCTATGGGTGAGTCTATCAAGTTGTAGGACAAAGTGAATGTTGATCCAAACGACTGCAGTTGCTGCCAGTCATATTCCGCCATATTGACGCAGATCCGTTAAAAATTGAGTTTTGGTTTGGCAAACCATTGATCCAAAATCAGCCATTGTATATACCTAATCATCATTTGTCGGGCCGTACGACCAGCAATAGGTAATATCTATGTAAAAGGCGACTATGTTTGTCGTAAGAGGCGACTAACGGCATTGGATGGCCAGGTTCGCTGACTTCGTTAATGCTTGTCAACATATCCCAGGTGCGTTGATCGATGCTCATGATGTCAATCACTGGATTGTCTGGTCCAGACTCGGTTATTTACAGACCGCCGTCATATAGCTGGAATACTGCTGAGTGCGGCGTTAAACGACAAACAAACAAACAAACAATCAAACACTTCTTTATTTGGCTGCTAAACAACAGTTTATGATGGTTATCGTTATGTCACACATAGCAATCCTTACAAGGACTGGACCTAGTTGGACATAAGTTCTGAGTTGTGGAGCGCAGCACCTTTTTAAAACAGATGAGGGCAGTGGGGTAGCCTAGTGGTTAAAACGTTCGTTCTTCACGCTGAAGACCCGGGTTCAATTCCCAACATGGGTACATATTGGAGGCCATTTCTGGTGTCCCCCGCCGTGATATTGCTGGAATATTACTGAAAGCGGCGTAATACCATGCTCACTCACTAATACAGATGTATATATGTAGGTATTCAGTTGTCTTAAGAAGCTGTGCAGGTAAGACGCTCTTGTAACCATAATGGGAAGGATCTGAAGGATGCTCGTAAAAGTCTCAATTAAACCTCGGCCATGTTTTCCTGTTCAGATGCTGCCCAGAAGTGTAAGCAGATCATCGAGGTGGGCGTGACCCGTTGTTTCCGCGAAGCTGGCGTCCTGGCCGCCCCTGCTGACGTCTTCAACCCCCAGAACCCGGAAGTTGCCCGTGTAATATGCAGGTAACATGCTTTGACTACTCTGTGAGTGAGTGAGTGGGGTTTGATGAACAGTATGTCAGTTATTCGTCTTTCTTCAATTTCTTGGTATTAAAACACCTGGTAAAATTCAGTTAGTGTGTCTGGTGGCGAACGTGAGAATAGCTACGAATTTGGAGACCGACCGTGTTTTCAGTGCAGACATAGGTTACCTGTTGATTTTCAAGTGCTAATTTCAGTTTGAAACCGAACGTAACTTGATCCTTTCAGTTACAAGGGACATTTACAGATATGTAATTTACGTCTGAACATGTATCTCCTAAATCATTATCAGGGGGGATCTGGGATTCGAACCCATGAACATCGGATTCAGGCACAACAAGGGGCGATAACTGCCGTGAAACACGCGAGAATGGGAGAAGTGACATAACATATATTGTCCTTGAGATACCCGTGAAGAAGAGATAAGGTTCTCGATCTAAACGCTGAGATGATCGTGTTTCCCATAGTGCTAAGATACCTTTGTGTAACGGGGCGGTCGGGTAGCCTAGTGGTTAAAGCGTTCGCTCGTCACGCCGAAGACCCGGGTTCGATTCCCGACATGGGTACAATGTGTGAAGCCCATTTATGGTGTCACCCGCCGTGATTTTGCTGGAATATTGCTAAAAGCGGCGTAAAACTATACTCACTCATTCACCTTTGTGTAACGGGACCATGGACTCGCCTTAACGGGACGAGCTTCCATGTAGACTCCCTGGAGTAAGCTCATGACTCTACACAATCTGCAGGAAAATACAGAATTAGTTCAGTTTACTCATTCCACGATTTAACCTCGGTATTTGTGTATTTAGCAACGTTGCCTTATTTGTTGCAGTCAAGGACGACGTCTAAGACCGTGCATCATGGCAGGGGAGACGGCGTGTGGGCGTGGCATGAGAGTCATCATCACACGTAGGATGCTGTCGTCGCTGCTCAACGCCATGGGCAACCTCTGTGCTTTACAAGGTCACACACACGTGTTAAATTCTTACGTAAACATTACATACTGAACGAAGGCAATACGGTCGGTGTAAAGCCGATTTTTGGAACGAACTTGTGTTTGTTGCCACCGAGCCTGACCGCTGATCCATTTAGCCGCCTCTTGAAAGGAATAGAGAGTTTGGGAGTTACTTCAGCTGAAGGTCAACGGTGTTAATAACTCAAGCCCCGTTCCACAGAGCGGTCTTAGCGTACTCCCGTGCTTGAGCATAGGCTTCGATAGTCGTAGCGCTATAATCGCTTTGTGGAACGGGGGGAAGGGAACATATTCTAACCTGGAAACAGAACGAATTAATGAAATTTCGGGTATTCCGTAATGGAGAAATCCTGTTTTGTTTATTTGTTGTTTAACGCCACACGCAGCAATATTCCAGGTATATGACGGCGGGGAGAAATCATCAGAACTTGTTGATTCCGGAAGTAGAATTAACGCGCCCCGTGTTATGATTGATATATAATTGTCTGATGTTGTGATTGATGTATAATTTCTCCATAGGTTTCCATAATGACCTATAGTTGCGTCAGTTTTACTTGTTCACATTTTGTTCATAATGGCCAGTGAAGTCCTGGCTCAGTATCAGTAACCATAATAGCATGACGTCATTATAATGATGTAATTCACCAGATAACGTTTAGCAATGTCGTGATCACAATGTCATGGCGCTGAACGTGAGCATCTGCGTGTAACTGGGTTTGGGACTCATGGTATGTGACTCTACATCAACAGTGTCAAGACCTCCAACCAGACAGAGTCTCCCGAACCAGCCCCAGCAGCCCCGGATCCCCTCTGTCCTCCCTCCCCAACTGATGCCTCAGATCCCCACGGAGCCCCAGACCATTGATGACATACCCCAGTTACCCCAGGTACCCGGGCTTGTGGAGGGGGAGGAGCCCATCAGGCGCTCCTGCATGAACGGCGGCTACGTGGTCGTCCAGGGAGGTGTGGAGGTCTGCGAGTGCCCAGATGGATTTGGCGGAGATCACTGTGAAATTCGTGAGTAGTTTCTTTTCATATTGGGGCGGTAGGGTAGCCAAGGGTGAAAGCGCTGGTTCCTCATGTCAGAGACCCGGGTTCGATTCCCCATGGGTACAATGTGTGAACGCCATTCTTGGGGTCTGGAGATGCCTGAATTATTGCTTTAAATGCGTAAAACTCATCTTCCCGAGGCAAGCGTGTCCACTAGTTGTACCCCTTGTAATGAAAACGCGATATCCAATCAGATCACTGTTCTTATCTTGTGTAGCATCACAAAGATGGCTACTACCATAGGAGGTGACGACCAAGTGGATGAGATAACGAAAACATACGCGATTTCATCCCTGACACAAAAACAGGCAATCGTTTAAAGATGTTTAAAGATGAAAAATACATATTCGTTTCAACAAAGACAGGCAGCGTTAAATCACTTTCATACAAGAGTGTACCAGTCGTTGATGTTGATTTCGCGAAACGTTCTCTGACGCGATAGTCCAATCATATTTAGCACAGGAAAGTGGGCTTGATGTGGCAAGGGTGGAAATAGACTTTAATAAAAATGCTAGTAGGCGCTCTTGCCTCGGGAAGATACACTTTCTTTGTATATCGATATTCAAGGTCAGCATTGGACCTCAATGTCAGTCGCAAGTTCTTGACCAATGAGAGGTCGTTATTTTGTCACGTGATTATTGAAACAGGGCTTACAATTCGTGGGGCTGTGTGCTGCACGTGTTTAATGTGCTTTTCGAGAATGAACACACAAAACCACAACGCATATCGACTCATTTCGTACTTTCCCGATTTTAGCTTAAATTAACCCAGTTAATCGATGTGCAGAATTACCTCCCATTGTCCTACTAGGATCCGCTGTTCGTGGGTTCCAATCCAAGATACGACCCTGATATGACAGCACCAAACTCGCGGCCAGCTTTTAAAAAATAGTGGCATACGTCTACGCCCTGCGTCTAGGGCATTCCTTCCACATTAATATGATAGCTGTATTATGACAGAAATATTGTTCAAGGAGGCGTCACACCCAACTCACTCACTCACCCACCGCGACTACTGGTAACAAGGTCACGTTGTGTTTCAGCTATCTGTATTGCCGGCTGTGAGAACAATGGCGTGTGTGAGAACGTGGACGGAGCCGCCATGTGCGTCTGCTCCAACGGCTACACCGGCGACATGTGCGAGATTGGTAAGACCTAGACACATACTTATACACCGTTACTTTTGTCGGAAGATCTGACAAAATATCGAAGGTCACAATGAACTGACCCGACTGTGTCCCTTTACCGTGACGCCGTGGAATGTTGTTCATGCCATTCACCACTAGCGCCCATACAGAGTTTTGAAAAGGAAGGTGCATGTTAGCTTCTACGTATGAATCGAATGATTGTCTGACTGAGACCTGAAAACAAAATTCACTCACTCACGTGCATACACGGGTGAGGTTTGGTGTCCTCGTATTTTCTCTTATTCCTTAGGATAAGTCGTATCCAGAATGGACAGGATTGTCAGACATAATTTTGTAATCCACGTCCATGTGCTGTTTGTGTCAGTCATTTGAATTGAATGAAGATGTCAAAATCCCCCTTCCTGGAAATATTTACACTGCTCACCTTGATCCCGTAGTCACTACATGTAAGGTAATTAGCTGACTCGATCCGAATGTCAATTTGGCAAATGGCATTCCACCCGTGCCAAATCGTGCAGTTCCGGATACGCCAAATGGATCGTCTTGTAAGTTCCGGAAGGATGCGAGTGGTGACGAATGAGGCAACGGGAACCCTCCTTTTCATTAAAAAACTGCCACACCCTATCATGTAGTACCTGCAGTGCAACTAGTCCAGTATCCTCATCAATGTATAATATAACGCACTGTAACTTGTCCACCATACTTTCAGTTCCACTTGTGGCGGTCACTGAAGTTGAGCAGCCAAAGCCAGGTATGTACGAGGTTGTTCACTTTCTATATGCCCATGTTCTTCAAGAAGTAATTAACTTCGTACATGTGACGTTTGTAGTCGGGTTCCACGTACATTTTCTTGCAAAATCAAACAAGCAAATAACCGTGTATGATTAAAATGGGTCTGAAGGATGATGTGATCTCAGGCGCATCTTGTATGATTCAAATACGCTCATCGAGCAGATTATGCTTCGAGACAGGAAAGGACAAGTTCTTCATAGATAAGTGACGTTTCAGTGAGTGCAACCCATGCTTGCAGTAAAAGGCAACTATGCTTGTTGTAAGAGGCGACCAACGGGATCGGGTCGTCAGGCTCGCTGACTTCGTTGATACATGCCATCATTTCCCAATTGCGTGGATCGATGCTCATGATGTCACTTACTGGATTCATTGGTCTAGATTCGATTACTTACAGACCGCTGTCATAAAGTTGAAATATTGCTGAGTGTGGCGTTAAATAAACAAACAAACAAACACAACATGGGAAGACCTTCTCTCAGATTCGACACCACGTCTCATCTAAGGTATCATTAAAACGTGATGGTCTGGGTCGATGCTGTATGTCAGTGGTCTGCCTGCTCCAATCCATTACGCAATAAGCAATGGAATTCGTTAGACGTTATACTCAAATGTATTGGCTTGCTTAGTTCAGTTACATTGGTCATGCAGTTTTGCAAATACCCTCTGTAGTCGGTACTTTCAAGGATTTTCATGTGTGTGTGATCCCGTTTGTTTCAGTGGACCCGGCCACCACCTCGCTCGAGACCAGCCCCAACCCTGGTAAGTGGGATTAATTCCATCAACGAAGTTTCGAACAATGCACCACAGAGCAGCAATTACCCTTTGGTCTTCATATATGAGACCCGTGAAGATTCCGGGGTAGAATAGGTCTTCAGCAACCCATGCTTGCCGTAAAAGGTGACTATGCTTCTCGTAAAAGGCGACTAACGGGATCGGGTGGTCAGGCTCGCTGACTTGGTTGATGCATGTCATCGATCCCAATTGCGTGGATCGATGCTCATGATATTAATCACTGGGTTGTCTTGTCCAGACTCGATTATTTACAGACCGCCGTCATATAGCTGGAATATTGCTGAGTGCGGCGTTAAACAACAAACCAACCAAACCAACCAAACTTCATATATGACGAACTTTGTATCTTGGCATATGGGTTCTAAGAACCAAATCGGGTCGCGTTCAACAAAGAGACCTTAGCACCTGAACTGAACCGAAAAATGCCATGATCTTCATCAGCCTCTATAGTCACTGTGGTACGATAATGGGATTCAAACTGTCAGAAGTATGCTTTGAAACATCGTGTAATAACGCAGCGCCATATGCTTATAATGAAAGAACAGCGTTTTATGTGACCTATAGTCACATCAATGAGAATATTAACACACCTGGTCGACATGTACTAGTATAAAGATAAAGGGACAACAGTTTGTTATAACTAAGTATCTGTTAAGATACTAAGGACAAGGATCGGTAGCGTCTGTGACCGTATTGGGAAAGAGACCCGAATATTAACACACTTTTCTTTTAAGACAGGTGAGGGGAGGTGAAATGGGGTTTAACGTCGCGTCCAAGATTATTGCACTTATATAGCGACGTGCATGTACGTGTGTGTGTTTGTGTGGCTGCTTGTACTAGTCCGGACTGATGCCGATTTATAGTGCTAGCTCACTGAGATACCATGCCGCAGTTTAACATGAATACCCCACTCAGACACAGTATGCTGACTCCGAGCCGACCAGTCCTTGTTTTAGCCCCTTAATGCCGAGCGCCAGACAGGGTACCAACAAGTACCATCTTTTAACATCTTTTGGTATGACGCGGCAGGGGATCGAACCCCGGACCTTCCGCTCTCCGGGCGGACACTAGACCACGGAGGCGGTCCCTTTTAAGACAGAGAGATGCACGTTAAAAAATACTATGTGCTATACTAACACCTTCGGTGTCGAGAACCAATAGGGTATGTGATCGTGTTGGCTCAAAGACGAATATTAACACCGATGATATTTTGAATCCTCTTGTTTCAGTACCAGAGATGAAGAAGACCGACTTCACTCTGGAGGACCACGATCACAGCGCATCCAAGGCCCACCCCACACTGGATGTTGAACACACGAAAGTGGAGATTTTCGGCTACCCCCTATGGTTCATTCTCGCCATTGCTCTCGGGATCTTTGTCCTTCTGTTCGTGCTCAGTCTCACATGCTGTCTGTGTCTCAAATGTCGCCGCTCAAAGCAGTCGTTTGAGTTGAGCAGAGAAGCTGTCAAAATCCCTCTGCCGGACAATATTTACACTGTAGGAATTGTACCACCTGTCTATGAGGCAAAGGGTATTCCCCCTCTTTCGTATGAAGAGGCGAAAGGGGAGACAATCAAGGGGGACACCAATAAGGTCAATGAACCAGAAGAGGTCAAGGAAGAAGAAAACTAACAATTGGTAGGTATCACATTTTTCAGTTCACTTAGTCATAAATATTCATTTCTGTTTGTTTGACTGGGTCCGGATGTTTAAAATTCAGTAGAGCTCACCAGACAGGTTGTATGCATTGAATTCATGTTGGGGGAATAATGGGACTGCGATCCACCATGTTCCAGGTCTAGATGTTATATGGGTGACCTGTGTCAAACTGATCCTTGTTGGGTTAGTGTAATCATCAATTGAGAGACACAATGTCAGTTTACAAAGAAAATTTCAAACGACTTGAATAAAACTTGCTAGGACCGCCAATTACCCTGGGATCTGTCCCTTAAACCCGGATCTTCGGATTGACCTACCAATGTTTAACCACACAATAATGAATACTAGAGTTTTTGTAGGTTGTCTAGACTAACATCTAGTCTCTGAAATGAACATATTTTACACAGAACAGTTGTTAAATTATCTAATTAAATGTGATAAAAAGAAGCCCGGAGACTCACTTTATTTTCAGAAACTGCAGTAATCTAGACTTGCTCGCTATTATACGCATGCATAGAGTGTATTGGACAGATTTGTTTCAGAGTGAGTGAGTGAGTATGGTTTTACGCTGCTTTTAGCAATATTCGAGCAATATCACGGCAGGAAACACCAGAAGTGGGCTTCACACTTTGTACCCATGTCGGGAATTGAACCCGATTCTTCGGCGTGACGAGCGAACGCTTTCACCACTAGGCTACCCGACCGCTCCCCTTCAGGGCCTGTATGACAGACTATAGGATGTATAAAGCCCTGACATTTAACATCTATGACACCTGCTCCACTGCATCACCTTGCCCTGTATTGTGGCCAGTCAATCTCATTAAAATCAGATCTAAGTTCTCGCTGCCGCTAAGCAAAGATCTGAGGACATCCCATTACGGGTCACGTCAGACCGACCTTTCGCGAACTTTACCGACCAATGAAATGACTAACACGAAGTCGACATCAGCTTTCTTGGTCTTTACGGCACTCGTTTCAACCTGACGACTTCAATTTCATACTACGCTTGAAAAATATGTTGACACAGTTCTCGATTAAACTTTTGAAAACTGAACAAAAGAACATTCCGGATGTCTAATATATGGTTGAGATTGTATGGCTGTACTTCCCACGCTCTGTGCAACGCCTTCTCCGTTCAAATGTTTATACCACGGAAGCGAGAGATGGACGATAATTTTAACGGAATCAGTCGTACGGGCCGTAACCGTCGTTCAGAATACCCCGTCTTAACGTTTTCGAGGTTGCATGATTAGAAAACACATTCCGACTGTCACTTTCAAAATCTGGTAAGCGACGCTTTGATTGGTTGGATGAAAGGTCGTTCTGACGTGACCCGTAACGGGATGTCCTCAGATCTTTGTTTAGCGATAGCGAGAACTAAGATCTGATTTTAACGAGGTTGTGTGACCAGTTAACCAACATTCCTAAAACATATCATTTATTCATTTCAGAAGTCAACGGGTTCTCTTCAAGCAAGTACTCTCATACTATACCAAAAACTTTCACGTGAAACACACGGGCTATGATATACACCCACAAGAACTATAAGGCGAGATGATATGTTCCTGAAGACTGACGGGGTTGAGGAGGGCCCCTCCAGTGCAGCGTGCACGGGGCAGCTCCTCCGTAGAGTCTCAGTCTGATGCCAATAAGATACTGCAGCTGTAAATATACGCGTGCTTGAGTTACACCATGTTATCAGTTCTCATGAAAGGTTATATCACACATGGAAATAAAAACAAGTTACAGTTTTAGATTCTGTTTTTTGTTTGTTGATTTTTAATGTCAAAGTATTGACGTGTGTGGGTGGTGTCTTTGGTGTTCCTAACATCAGCTGTGGGGATCTCAGTGTCTGGAGGATGTTAGCCACTGATAACAGTTCATGTTACAGTCAGCAATGAACAGTAGTTCGTTATATCATACTTTGACATTTACCACCTTGTTCTCGGGTCTTATTTTACCACGCTTACCTGCAGATACTGATGAAATGCTCCTTCTTTAATATCAAACATTTAGAATAGGAAGCAGCTTTTATAATCTCATTGAAACCAGATCTGTTACTCCAATAGGACCCCTCTCTGCGTGATCCGTTGGGTTCAGTAATATCACCGTGTGTGAGTGGGTTCAATAATATCACTGTGAGTGAGGGAGTTGGGTTCAATAATATCACTGTGAGTGAGGGAGTTGGGTTCAATAATATCACTGAGTGAGGGAGTGTGTGTGGCTGCTTGTACTAGTCCGGACTGATGCCGATTTATAGTGCTAGCTCACTGATATACAATGCCGCAGTTTAACATGAATATACCACTCAGACACAGTATACTGACTCCGAGCCGACCAGTCCTTGTTTTAGCCCCTTAATGCCGAGCGCCAGACAGGGTAACAACAAGTACCATCTTTTAACGTCTTTTGGTATGACGCGGCCGGGGATCGAACCCCGGACCTTCCGCTCTCCGGGCGAACGCTCTACCACAATATCACTGTGAGTGAGGGAGTTGGGTTCAATAATATCACTGTGAGTGAGGGAGTTGGGTTCAATAATATCACTGTGAGTGAGGGAGCTGGGTTCAGTAATATCACCGTGTGTGAGTGGGTTCAATAATATCACTGTGAGTGAGGGAGTTGGGTTCAATAATATCACTGTGAGTGAGGGAGTTGGGTTATATAATATCACTGAGTGAGGGAGTTGGGTTATATAATATCACTGTGAGTGAGGGAGTTGGGTTCAGTAATATCACCGTGTGTGAGGGAGTTGGGTTCAATAATATCACTGTGAGGTGAGGTGAGGTGAAATTGGGTTTAACCACGTGTCCAAGATTATTGCACTTATAGAGCGATGTGCATGCATGTGTGTGTGTGTGTGTGTGTGGCTGCTTGTACTAGTCCGGACTGATGCCGATTTATAGTGCTAGCTCACTGAGATACAATGCCGCAGTTTAACATGAATATACCACTCAGACACAGTATACTGACTCCGAGCCGACCAGTCCTTGTTTTAGCCCCTTAATGCCGAGCGCCAGACAGGGTAACAACAAGTACCATCTTTTAACGTCTATTGGTATGACGCAGCCGGGGATCGAACCCCGGACCTTCCGCTCTCCGGGCGGACACTCTACCACAATATCACTGTGAGTGAGGGAGTTGGGTTCAATGATATCACTGTGAGCTAGGGAGTTGGGTTCAATAATATCACTGTGAGTGAGGGAGTTGGGTTCAATAATATCACTGTGAGTGAGGGAGTTGGGTTCAATAATATCACTGTGTGTGTGTGAGGGAGTTGGGTTCAGTATCACAGTGTGTGAGTGAGGGAGTTGGGTTCAGTAATATCACCATGTGTGAGTGAGGGAGTTGGGTTCAGTATCACAGTGTGTGAGTGAGGGAGTTGGGTTCAGTAATATCACCATTATCACCATGTGTGAGTGAGGGAGTTGGGTTCAGTATCACCGTGTGTGAGTGAGGGAGTTTGGTTCAGTATCACCATGTGTGAGTGAGGGAGTTGGGTTCAGTATCCCAGTGTGTGAGTGGGGAGTTGGGTTCAATTATATCATTGTGTGTGAGTGAGGGAATTAGGTTCGAATTATATCATTGTGTGTGAGTGAAGGAGTTCAGTAATATGTGTGAGGGACAGAGTTGATTTTTATTGTATCACACTGATGGTAGGACTCGTATCTGGAGGCAAAGAGGAACATCTTTTCATCAGCGCAACATCCAGGAAACAGTGTCCTGTGGAGACGGATCATTGATGGTATGGGGATGTTGCTCCGTTGATTGTAAACTTGATTTAGTCACAGTTCAGGGGACATTAAAAGGAAAATGGTACCAAGATACCATATTGGACAGTTTTGTTGTGCCCCATGTTGCATGGACGACAATGCCCGACCTCACCAAGCACTTCACTTCCTGTGACAGACCATCACCAGAACAACACCATTGAGACTCTGCCCTGACCCTCCAGTGCACAATCTCCAAGAGGTGAGGTGAGGTGAGGTGAAATGGGGTTTAACATCACGTCCAAGATTATTGCACTTATATTGCGGTGTGCATGTGTGTGTGTGTGTGTGTGTGTGTGTGTGTGTGTGTGTGTGTGTGTGTGTGTGTGTGTGTGTGTGAGTGTGTGAGAGAGTGTGAGTGTGTGTGAGAGTGTGAGTGTGTGTGAGAGAGTGTGAGTGTGTGTGCGAGTGTGAGTGTGTGTGACTGCTTGTACTAGTCTGGACGAATGCCAATTTATATTGCTAGCACACAGAGACACCATGCCGCAGTTTAACATAAATACCCCACTCAGACACAGAATACTGACTCCGAGCTGACCAGTCCTTGTTTTAGCCCCTTAATGCTGAGCAGCAGACAGGGTAACAACAAGTACCATCTTTTAACGTCTTTTGATATGACGCGGCTGGGGATCAAATCTGGACCTTCCGCTCTCCGGGCGGATGCTCTACCACTAGAACACGCAGGCGGTCAGAATCTCCAAGACCAGACCCAGGCACTGCATCAGAGATGGCATCACATCCCTCAGTGGAGCATCAGTTGTCTTACAGATGTGACTGGACTGTATCATCAGCTGAACAGGTGTGATACCCTTTGCTCATGCTATCAACCACCGGTATGTCTGACCCAGATCTGATCCGTACAACCATAGCTGTAATATTTCTGACAATGACGACTCGCTCACTCCTTGACCTGCAAACACCAGAGGGCCCCACAAAGTCCAACAAACCAAACCATGCTTTCTGATATTGTTCTACGTTTATTAGATACAAAAATATTAAATATTCTTTTATTTAACAGATCTTTAATATGACAATGAATGACCAAATTATGAATATAAATACAGTGGAACTGGTGAACTGGAAAAGGAATCTATTGATTCTTGGGAAAGGGCCTTGGAGGATTATCAACACTTGAGCTGTGGGCTTACAACAGTGAGGGTGCATGTTTGTTTTAGGCCTAACAATGAAATATTTTGATTTGTAAATTATTCTTGTCAAGGCACAGTCATGGAAAGAGTATCTGCTAACCACAAAAATAATCTGCTTGTCTGGTCATAATAAATTCACCTCCACCCACAGCCGCCTCACTACCAAACAACCGTTTCACTATCAAACATCCGTCTTACTATCTTACACCAACCTCACTACCAAACATCCATCTCACTACCAAACACCCTTCTCACTACCAAAACCCTGCCTTACTATCAAACACCAATCTCACTATCAAAACCCTGCCTTACTATCAAACATCTGCCTTACTATCTAACACCCTGCCTTACTATCTAACACACACCTCACTACCAAACACCCGTCTCACTGACAAACGCCCCCTTACTGTCAAACACCTGCCTTACTACCAAACACCTGCTTAAATATCAAACATCTGCCTCACTATCAAACACCAACCTCATTATCAAACATCCGCCTTACTACCAAACATCCGCCTTACTACCAAACACCAACATCACTACTGTAAATCGTGAAATTAACGCATCTCCAAAAAAATGTGACAGCTAGCCCAGGGCCAAAAATGCGACTCAACATGAATGCTACACCCCCCTCCTCTCAAGCATCAGTGGATCTATATCTAAGGAAAATGTCTTCTGTCTGGTTTACAGGAGAATCCTCACCTTAATCTAACCTTACATTAATCCAAACACACACCAAATAGCACCGCTTATGAGCGCTGAGTTGAGTACTTTTTGTGTTTATTCTGTTGACTGGCATAAAGAAAGTTCAAAGGAAGAAAGTGTCAACAAACTTGAAGGCAGGTGACTGTCGATCTAAAAATTAATGTGATGAAGCCTATTCATGCGCGCTGGCTCGTGTAGGCCTTTGACGCAGTCGCAAAGAACAAAGACACTGTGTTGTGTGGGTGGCGTCTGTCTGGACTTGCAGGTGTGATCAGTGATGATACAAGTGAGTAGAACTCTTGTCTTGACCCAAGCAGTGACAATTCACAGGATGTAATTAGTGTTTGAATGACATTGTTTATATACAAGTGCTGCTCAATAAACAGTGATATGGAATACACAGTTGTTTGTTTTCAGTATATGTCTAAGTTGGTATTTCTGCTATCCAAAATGTCTTATTGTTCATATAAGTGTGATGTTTAATAATGCCAGCAAAGATCACTCGAATTTTTCGCATTTAATTCATGCTCGCGTTAATATCAAGATTTACAGTATCACCAAACAACCGCCTGACTACCAAACAACCGCCTAACTACCAAACACCCGCCTCACTGCCAAACAACCGCCTAACTACAAAACACCCACCTAACTACCAAACACCCGCCTCACTACCAAAAACCCGCCTCACTACCAAACACCCGCCTCACTACCAAACACCCGCCTAACTACCAAACAACCACCCCACTACCAAACACCCGCCTCACTACCAAACACCCACCTCACTACCAAACACCCACCTCACTACCAAACACCCACCTCACTACCAAACACCCGCCTCACTACCAAACACCCGCCTCACGCATAAACATTGTATTTAGCGAGCCTTCTACTCACTTGTCTTCCTCTTTATCATATAATGTCATTCTTTAATTCTGTGCTTCAAAATCGCTTTCCCTCACTCACAAACATTACCGAAACATTGCGAGTTTTCCTGGAATGCGCGCATTAATATTTATTACGTCACAGGGTAAGTGATGTGTCAGTCGGACAGTGACAGTAGCCAATATAGTTCCAACTGAAATATGTTTCTTATACAGTGGCCAAGCAACATATACGCAAAAACAACAACTGTTTTTAATTGCCTTTCGCGGCAATCCTTTGGTCTGTCCGCTAGAGTAACTGCCCTTTGTCAAAGGGAAACTACTCTAACCCTAGTCTATGAGACGTCACGGCCACGGTCAGATGTTGTTGACAGTCGGTCTGTCCTGTCATAACGATAAGAAGTGTTGTCAGATGTACACACAGCGACAAAACGAAACAAGGTAACAATTCAAACATACTTCCGCCAAATCCAACTATTTTAATTTGTGGAGGTTTCAAGCCGCAGAGGTCTACAAGCACAGATATGGCTACTGATCCCGCTTGGCTAGGTCTCGTGCCCTCGCCAAATTGTTTCGAAATGTATATCTCCAAAGTTGCCAAAACTTATAAAATGCCTCAGCTACGTCTCAGTTAGACACATATTTTCAGTATATTAGACTGTTCTTTTGATAATGATAGCAATTATCCCTGTAGTTTATCCAGATTCCCGATGGTTAATTCTGACTCGATCGCCGAATTACGAGTGCGACGCCGTGTTTGTTTATAAACAGTGAAAGTAGTCCCTACGTGACCTTTGATATTTGCATCTCTATCCGCATATGACCCCAACGGATATCGTTTTTATCCGTTGGCTTTATCCTGCCGAGAAACCTACCCATTATATGATAAATCACTATATATGTTGAACTGTTCCCTTCTTACTTTATTTGATGAAATACACAGCATGTTTCGTGTGAATCACATTTGCCGACATCAATGTATACAGACAGTAAGTTTGCTTACAACAAGAAATGACTCCCAACTTACATCTTTTTAAATTTTGTGAAAAATCTAACAATTCAGTTTCTTGTGGCTTTATTAAATATGACCAAATCCCTCAATGGTACTCCATTTTAAGACAAGCAGCTGCCATATACTCCTGGGTAGACACAAGATTGCTCCATATGCCCTGCTCTTTCCTGGGGCATCATTGAATCACAGTCCCTGGGCTCCAGATGGCGCCGATCCTACAATGACCTGTCAGTCCACGTCCACGGGTCACCGTCTCGGCTCAGCCAGAGTCTAGGTCACCGATATCTGTCGCGGTCACGCCTGGAGTCCCGATCATCTCGGTACCTGTCTCTCTGTTTGTGCCTCCTGTCAGGGCTTCGGCTTCTCTCTCTCCTCTCCTCCTCCCTCTCACGGCTTCTCCTTCTGTCCTTCTTCCTCCTGTCTGGTGACCTTGACCTTGACTTCCGTCTCGGAGGGCTCTCACTTCTTTCTCGAGCCCTCTTCTTGTGTTTCTTTGAAGATTTCTGAGAAATAAAACATTTTAAAGATGCAAATATTCATAGATTTCGTATTAACCTTTGTCTAACTATTTACGCAATTTGCAATGTACACCCTGCAATGGCTACAGCAGTGCTCACCTTATGATCAGAGCTGTCACTGTCGCTACTCGCACTTCTGTGTTTTTTGGACTTTTTCTTCTTCTCTTTCTTCTTCTCCTTCTTCTTCTTTTCTGACGATGCACTGTGGTCATCGTTGTCAAAAACAAGGTCATAGCCACTGTACAGTCAGGAAAGTAATCATGTTCACTGGCTTACTTCAACCACAGAACTTGGCAGGCTCAATTTCCTAAATGTTCTACCAACATTCCTTCATTTAAACTTACACATAAAGCACTTAACCATGCTATTCTGACCAACTAAATATTCTTATCTCTGGAGAGGACTTGTAGCAATATTCCAGCGATATCTAAGTTTGGATGCCAAGTACTGCCTTCAAACAATGTAGTGCCATGCTGGGAACAAAATCCTGGTCAAACCTTCCCCCTTGTTACCTGTTTGGCTACCCAGCCGACCCCTAATGAAATCATAAGCATTAAGAACCTTAAAAAGTAAAGCTGGCTATTGATATAGATTACAGGGACCGATAATCGCTAACTAAATATCAATAAATTATTGATAAATATCGGAGAAGTAACTTTTAAGTAACTTTGAGAAAGTCCAGAAAGAAATCAGCATATTTCACACCACTGGTGAGTGATGACACATTGATACATAGAATATTTTGCAGACATTTGAGGTATAACAAAAACAGTTGCTTTCCATCTTCCACAATTGCCATTATTCACAATGACAAGTCTGTTTCGGTAGATCTAAACTTTACTTCATCACAATAGTATATGTAAGTTATTGCCGTATTCGATGTAATAAGCGCCCAGGGTGCTCTCAAAATAAGAAATAGGGGGCTCTTATTAGAATATTATTTTGGTGAAAAAAAACAGAGTTGAAAGATAAATTTTGTGGTTTATGCTGACAGCCTGAAATGTTTATGTACGACAGATATATATTTCCAGAATTTAATTGCCAATAATAAAGGATGCCTATAACACATGAGTGCGTATTATACGCGAATAGGGGAAGGAAGCAGTGCGTATAATAGGGGTCAGATGGGGTGCTAATTGGGATTGTTCACTAGCCAATATATTAGTAAATCTCGCCGTGGGCGCATACTAGAGCGGGGCCCTTATTACGTCGAATAGGGTATTGATGACAACAAATTCATATCGATAATCGTTAAAAGTTCTTCCCATCAATTTTAATTCCTATTACCAATCTTTTTAGACGCCCTATAAAAAGTAAAATATACAAGCGTGCAGGTTGCCATGGTTACTTGTGACTGATGTTCATTTCAGTGACAGTGAGTATGCCACTTTCAGTGCCGTTCATGCAATATCAAAGCAGAGAAGACTAAGAATGTGCTTGACACACTGAACTTCTGTGGAGAATCAAACTCAGTCCTCTAACCACTTAGCCACAGAACACGTCCTTGTTTGGGCGAGTGAAAGAAACGTTGACACCACAAAGCACCCAAAATATATCTGTGAGAAGCAAAAAGGATACTCGTTTTTCCGGGATGTGTCTTTGAGAGCGTATGCTGGTTTTGAAGGGACAGTACCTGAAACAACACAAGTGAATGGGATGTGTGCGGCGTCTATTATTCTAGGATCTCCATGTAGACATCTGCAGGAATATCTCAGTGAAACTGACCAACAATTTTCTTTTAAATATCTTGTCATTCACACTGATTTTCTTACGGAACATTTCAACATAATTTCAAAGTCAATAAAACATGTATCACATATTGAATCAACATTGGTTGTCTGTCAGTGTTGTCCCAGTTTGTCCCAGTAGGCCTGCTTCGTTTTACCATGGTTACCATGGTTACATTCACAGTACATGGTCCACCACAGAACAGGCAGGGTCTCGTATCAGAGACATCATCCACCGTCTCAGTACAACACCGACTACATCTGTGCTGGCAGTCATTCAGCATCACCGGACTGGCAAATCATAGGACACGATAACAGACTTTGATTGTTTGTAACCATTCCTAAACATCATACATTGTACTGTTGAGAACATTTTGCTTCCCATCAAGTCTGCAAACTAATTTCAGCGATGACAACCTGTTCAATTTTGGAAGTTAAGCAACCCTTTCACTAATTCCCTAAAAAAAGATAACTTCATCTTTATGTTACCTGATCCTTTCTGAAATCACTTTTCAAGAAATGTTTTAATGTTTTTATTCTTTTGGGTTTTTTTTACAACAGCCCCTACTGATAAGAAAAAACCCTCTATAAAGCAAGCAATTAAACAAAGCCCCTTACCCGTCTTGTTGTACTGGAGTTTGGACACTGACTGGCTGAAGTCCACATGGATCCGGCGGTCATCAATGAGAACATTGTCCATCTTGAAGTAGGCATTCTCACAGTCAGCTTCCTGGCAACAGAAGACATGTATTTAAGTCCTGGCCCCCGTTCCATGAAGCGATCTTAGCGCTAAGGTGATCGTAACTCCCATACTTTAACATAGGCTTACAATCATCGTAGCGCTAAGATCGCTTTGAGGAACAGGGTCCAGGGCCCACTTGCACAAAGTGATCTTAGCGCTACGACTATTGTAAGCCTATATTAAAGTATGGGAGTTACGATCATCTTAGCGCTAAGATCGCTTTGTGCAAGTAGGCCCTGGACAGCGCTGGAACTTTGGCTGCATACCAGCGCTCAAGTCAAAGCAAATATCACCAAACTGCATGTTTTGCTTGCATACCAATTCACAAGTCATGACCCATTAAATCTTATAATTATTCTTTGCAAAAACATTATTTTCTCACGTAAGCATATTCCATCGTTCCAGATCTTCCAGAATGACTGAAGCAGTATTACCCCATCCCCACATGTACAGCGTTGATGAGTGGGAGTTCAGACAGATTCTATTAATATTGGTCATCATGACATACACTTTATTTGTAACATGGAAGTCACTGTTTTCTGCTTTGTAAAAACAATATAAAATGCAAAAAATAAAAAAAAATATAAAAAAATATTTTAAGTCCAGGCCTCCAGCTGTTCATAACTATCAGCGCTAATTACTGTAAAGTGTTGGCTTCCATTGTATGTTGCCAATCACCTATCAGCGCCAATTATCTGTTGACTTCCCTTGCCTCAAACCTACCTTTTCAAATTCTATAAATGCATATTGTAGAGATTCACCCGTTTTCTGGTCCTTGATGACTTCACAGCTGAAAGAAATCATGCCATTATTTATACTTGACAGAGTGAGTGAGTGAGTTGGGTTTATCATCCAAAACTGGCTCCCACAGGAGATATCACTTTGGGTGAGATCAAGCGATATCTATACTGTAGATATTGCTGCAATGAAATTGCATCACAATGCTTTGCAGACCATTGTGACGTCATTGGTTACCATGACGTCACAATCAAATGACATCACTAATGGCTCTGCTACTGAAGCTGTTAGCAGTACTTTTTACACTTAAAGGGCAAGTTCACACGGAAATGAACCTATTTTTCTTGTACTTTTTCCACATTAAAAGTGTTAACATAGAAGTGTCATAGACAAAAATATAAAAATATCACAATTAATTAACATATTTTTCGCATTAAAACGATTTATATTTTTCACATTTACCAAGTGTTCTCTTTCCACAACAAAAACACCATGGCTTATGCCCCTTGCAATATGACGTCATTGGTGCCAATTGATAAACATTATGACGTCATCATGCTATGTTAGAGCCGCTTCACGTGGTGTAGGTACAGCTGTGTGATTCTAGCGTCTCAGATGCCAGCCAGCATAGTGTTATGCTGAGTCACCACTGCGCCGGAGTGTGTCGTAGGCCATGTTGTTTTACCGAAAACTGGTACTTGATATCTTTTGCGTTGAGAATAGACAGGGATCCAGTTGAATTGGCACCAATTACGTCATAATCTAAGGGGGATAACTCAGGCCTGTTTAGCTCGAAAAACGAAGGCCTCATATCGGCATATCATTTTCACACTATTGTGAGCTTCCTACTTTCACTGTGAAAGAAATGAGTGTATATTTTCAAACACAGATACTAATTAATTCTAAAATTGCGTTTTGTTTAGAAAAAGAAAGAAAGTGATTTTTGCGTGTACACTTCCCCTTTAAGACACAGCTTATTACTTTCTACAAACTGAAAAAGTTGTAAGAATGATGTTGGATGATAAATAAAATCTCACCCTCGTGTCTTTTGATATCTAATATATCAACACTCGTTGATAAAAGTGGAAAAAAAACCTCGGCAAGCCTCAGAGTTTTTCCACTTTTATCAACTCGTGTTGATATATTTTATATCAAAAGACACTCTGGTGAGATTCTCTACTTAATGCCACTTTAAACAGTATGACAGTCACAGCGTGTCAGCTTAATGTGGGAGGAAAACTAAAAGTGATGCAGGTCTCAGACGTTTACCACTTTGGTGAATCTCACGAGCACAGTTATGGTGCTGACAAACCTAGGAACATAATCGGGGTGAACCGGGATTCAAACCCATAATCATTATGTCTGCAATTGCAGTGCCTAAGACAACTGGGCCACTTGTGCTCCATCATACTTTACCGAAGGATAATTTCGTAGCATGAAAATGTATTAGCATTTGGTTCTAAATACAACATCCCTTATTACATGATGGTAATTCACAGAGAAAACTGACTAGCATATTTAAGAATATGGTGTGTTACTAAGTTCTTGCTTACTGACAATATTTATGTAATTGATGAAAGCTAGTCTTTACAGGTGTTATGCTGTGTTGTGTTGTATTTACAGCATCTATCACTGTCATGTAGTTTAACAGCAATAGAAACTAACAGTTATAGTGCCCTAGTCCTTATAATAACATACAGTAAAAACCCTTAAAAAGATCAAACTTCTAGTCCTTAGGAAACCTTAACTATTGGGCAGTTGGCAAGAACTATAGGACTAGTGCCAGACCCGTGAAGATCCAGGGAAGAATTTATCTTCAGCAACCCATGCTTGCCGTAAAACGCAACTATGCTTGTCGTAAGAGGCGACAAACGTGATCAGGAGGTCAGACTCGCTGACTTGGTTGGTGCATGTCTTCGTTTCCCAAACAACTGGTGCCAATTTCTCACCCTGAGTTACGTTGTTCCTTACCTCTTTATTTCTCCGAACCGGGAAAATATCATTTCCAGATCTTCTGAGGTAGTAACTGGGTTGAGTTTACACACAAACAACACATCATCGGGAGGTCGGACATCAGCCTCGGGGAGATCACCAACCTGTCAACAAAACACAGGCACCAGGGGTCAGGGTTAGAAGCTAGCAGTTTTGTCCACTAGTCCTTGTAATGAAAACATATAGCAAAACCCTTAAAATGGGCCAATTTCTACTAGTCCTTAGGATACCTTTACAATTGTCAAGTTTGATAAGGACTTTAGGACAAAGTGCCAATTTCTAACACTGGGGGTCACAGTCACATGGGTCACAGTCAAATGGGTCATAGTCACATGAGTCACAGTCACACGGATAACAGTCAAATGGGTCACAGTCACATGGGTCACAGTCACACGGATCACAGTCAAATGGGTCACAGTCACATGGGTCACAGTCACATGGGTCACAGTCACACAGGTCACAGTCACATGGGTCACAGTCACATGGGTCACAGTCACATGGGTCACAGTCACACGGGTCATAGTCACACAGGTCACAGTCACATGGGTCACAGTCACACGGGTCACAGTCACACGGGTCACAGTCACACAGGTCACAGTCACACAGGTCACAGTCACATGGGTCACAGTCAAATGGGTCACAGTCACATGGGTCACAGTCACACGGATAACAGTCAAATGGGTCACAGTCACATGGGTCACAGTCACACGGATCACAGTCAAATGGGTCACAGTCACATGGGTCACAGTCACATGGGTCACAGTCACACAGGTCACAGTCACATGGGTCACAGTCACATGGGTCACAGTCAAATGGGTCACAGTCAAATGGGTCATATTCACATTGGTCACATGGGTCACAGTCACATGGGTCACAGTCACATTGGTCACAGTCACACGGGTCACAGTCACACAGGTCACAGTCCCATGGGTCACAGTCACATGAGTCACAGTCACATGGGTCACAGTCACATGGGTCACAGTCACATGGGTCACAGTCAAATGGGTCACAGTCAAATGGGTCACAGTCACATGGGTCACAGTCACATGGGTCACAGTCACATGGGTCACAGTCACATGGGTCACAGTCAAATGGGTCACAGTCAAATGGGTCACAGTCAAATGGGTCATATTCACATTGGTCACATGAGTCACAGTCACATGGGTCACAGTCACATGGGTCACAGTCACATGGGTCACAGTCAAATGGGTCACAGTCAAATGGGTCACAGTCACACAGGTCACAGTCACATGGGTCACAGTCACATGGGTCACAGTCACACAGGTCACAGTCACATGGGTCACAGTCACATGGGTCACAGTCAAATGGGTCACAGTCAAATGGGTCACAGTCAAATGGGTCATATTCACATTGGTCACATGGGTCACAGTCACATGGGTCACAGTCACATTGGTCACAGTCACACGGGTCACAGTCACACAGGTCACAGTCCCATGGGTCACAGTCACACAGGTCAAAGTTACATTGGTCACAGTCACACAGGTCACAGTCACATGGGTCACAGTCACACGGGTCACAGTCACATGGGTCACAGTCACATGGGTCATAGTCACATGGGTCATATTCACATTGGTCACAGTCACACAGGTCACAGTCACACGGGTCACAGTCACATGGGTCACAGTCACACAGTTCACAGTCACACGGATCACAGTCACATGGGTCACAGTCACACAGTTCACAGTCACACTGGTCATATTCACATTGGTCACAGTCACACAGGTCACAGTAACATGAGTCACAGTCACATGGGTCAAAGTTACATTGGTCACAGTCACATGGGTCACAGTCACACAGTTCACAGGGACTGCATTGATTTGCTTGATGGATTGCAGGAATAAGTTTTGGGTCAAACTAACAATGAGACCTGGATTCGTGTAAGTATTGTGTCCTCACCATCTCCAGCAACTGGGCGTTGGCACTGGCCTCTTTCTCCTCGATCTTCTCCTTCACCTCCTGCATCGTCAACCCCTTTGCGTCATCGATGGCCTCATCAGCACCGATCCGCCCACTCTGAAACACCCCAACACAGCTACATCATCACAGCTGACTGGTCGGTGGGACATAAAATCAGGTCCCAAGGCTGGGCTGCACATCCTTGATGTCATATATGACACTTAAACATGCTGAAAACTATTTGAGCCAATGCGTTTTGTAATCATTTTGAAAACAGCTTGTAGCTTCAACTTCCCAGTCCCTAGATACTCAATACAACATGGAGACACCACACCCTATTTTCTGGGAAAATGGTTTTACAATATTGTTACCATGGTATTGTCTCAGCATCTAGAGTGAGTGAGTAAGTTGGGTTTAACACCGCTTTTAACAGTATTCCAGTTATATCATGGTGTGTCAGCTTAATATGGGAGGAAAGCCCAAAGTAATGTAGGTCACAGATGTTTACCACTTCGGTGAAACCCACAAACATGGATATGGTGCTGACAAACCTAGAAAAACTCGGGGTGAACCGACATTTGAACACAAAATCATAGGTTTCTGGCGTGCCCAAGGGACGCAACTCTGCACAGTGAATTGCGGCGTCTTAGGCAACTGGGCAACCTGTCCCCCTACATCTTATGAAACAGTACCATTAATTACAATATTTTCAGATGACTTATATATCACTTATTGGTCAATATGCTTGTTTTCTGTAGCATCTACATGTAGAAAGTGTCTGTCCATGTTACAAGACGTGATCTCTGAAGTATCCTTACATCCAGCATCTCCTTGGTGGGTTCCGGGGACCTGTCCGGGATGTTGAGGTCAGCAGGGTCATCGTAGGGGTCGTCCAGGATCACAGTGTGGTAGATTCTGAAGTTAAATTACAGAAACATTACAATCGTGCAAGTACCAATCTTCCCAAAGCAAAAATCCAGTTTCCACCCTTGCCGAACTAGGATGGAATTATGGAGTTATATATTGGCTGGACTAACGAGTCTATGCATAGTCCAATCACAATCCTGAAATGAAATCGACATCTGGTTCATAAACAACATGGCAACTGCCGTGGCAAATTCCTTTGACTGCAGGATTTGCAGAGCATGTGTACCGTCAACTGGGCATCAACAGATATTTTCCAAATCTTTTCATGTTTTTAATCGAGGTGATCATGTGATTTCTACAAATGAGCCTAGAAATTCCAGCCTAGTTCGACAAGGCTAGAAACTGGACCTTTAAAGCCTGTTAACTCCCTTGCCTCGAGGTGATTGCAAGTACCTACACTAGTGAGTGTGTGCGATGCTGCTACTGCCACCTTGAACAGTATCTCAGCTATAGCATGACAGGCTTCACGGGCAAGAAAGCCCACAGTAGTAGATGTATAATAGTCACCTTTGAGAAACTGACAAGCATGTGTATGGTGCTGGCAATCTACAGAATCTGACTCCCCATGACATTGTGAGTCACCATGGCAATTTGAATCCACATGGCAACATCAAATTGAACAGCCATGACAATTAAAATAGTCATGGCAATTTGGATACCCATGACAATGAAAATACCATGACAAATTGAATCCCCATGACAATCAGAATCCCCATGACAATCAGAATACCATGACAATCAGAAAACCATGACAAATTGAATCCCCATGGCAATCAGAATCCCCATGGCAATCAGAATCCCACAGACAATCAGAAAACCATGACAAATTGAATCCCCATGGCAATCAGAATCCCCATGGCAATCAGAATCCCACAGACAATGAGAATACCATGACAAATTGAATCCCACAGACAATGAGAATACCACGTGAATGTGCATCCTTCTGTCAGGGAGAATGCCTACCTGATGTCTATGTACATCCTTCTGTCAGGGAGCCCGCCTACCTGATGTCTATGTACATCCTTGTGTCAGGGAGCCTGCCTACCTGATGTCTATGTACATCCTTGTGTCAGGGAGCCTGCCTACCTGATGTCTATGTACATCCTTGTGTCAGGGAGCCTGCCTACCTGATGTCTATGTACATCCTTCTGTCAGGGAGCCTGCCTACCTGATGTCTATGTACATCCTTCTGTCAGGGAGAATGCCTACCTGATGTCTATGTACATCCTTCTGTCAGGGAGCCTGCCTACCTGATGTCTATGTGCATCCTTCTGTCAGGGAGAATGCCTACCTGATGTCTATGTACATCCTTCTGTCAGGGAGCCTGCCTACCTGATGTCTATGTACATCCTTCTGTCAGGGAGCCTGCCTACCTGATGTCTATGTGCATCCTTCTGTCAGGGAGCCTGCCTACCTGATGTCTATGTACATCCTTCTGTTAGGGAGCCTGCCTACCTGATGTCTATGTACATCCTTCCGTCAGGGAGCCTGCCTACCTGATGTCTATGTACATCCTTGTGTCAGGGAGCCTGCCTACCTGATGTCTATGTACATCCTTCTGTCAGGGAGCCTGCCTACCTGATGTCTATGTACATCCTTCTGTCAGGGAGCCCGCCTACCTGATGTCTATGTACATCCTTCTGTCAGGGAGCCTGCCTACCTGATGTCTATGTACATCCTTGTGTCAGGGAGCCTGCCTACCTGATGTCTATGTACATCCTTGTGTCAGGGAGCCTGCCTACCTGATGTCTATGTGCATCCTTCTGTCAGGGAGCCTGCCTACCTGATGTCTATGTGCATCCTTCTGTCAGGGAGCCTGCCTACCTGATGTCTATGTACATCCTTCTGTTAGGGAGCCTGCCTACCTGATGTCTATGTACATCCTTGTGTCAGGGAGAATGCCTACCTGATGTCTATGTGCATCCTTCTGTCAGGGAACCTGCCTACCTGATGTCTATGTACATCCTTGTGTCAGGGAGCCTGCCTACCTGATGTCTATGTACATCCTTCTGTCAGGGAGCCTGCCTACCTGATGTCTATGTACATCCTTCTGTCAGGGAGCCTGCCTACCTGATGTCTATGTGCATCCTTGTGTCAGGGAGCCTGCCTACCTGATGTCTATGTACATCCTTCTGTCTGTCAGGGAGCCTGCCTACCTGATGTCTATGTGCATCCTTCTGTCAGGGAGCCTGCCTACCTGATGTCTATGTGCATCCTTGTGTCAGGGAGCCTGCCTACCTGATGTCTATGTGCATCCTTGTGTCAGGGAGCCTGCCTACCTGATGTCTATGTACATCCTTCTGCCAGGGAGCCTGCCTACCTGATGTCTATGTACATCCTTGTGTCAGGGAGCCTGCCTACCTGATGTCTATGTGCATCCTTCTGTCAGGGAGCCTGCCTACCTGATGTCTATGTGCATCCTTCTGTCAGGGAGCCCGCCTACCTGATGTCTATGTACATCCTTGTGTCAGGGAGCCTGCCTACCTGATGTCTATGTGCATCCTTCTGTCAGGGAGCCTGCCTACCTGATGTCTATGTACATCCTTCTGTCAGGAAGCCTGCCTACCTGATGTCTATGTGCATCCTTCTGTCAGGGAGCCTGCCTACCTGATGTCTATGTGCATCCTTCTGTCAGGGAGCCTGCCTACCTGATGTCTATGTACATCCTTGTGTCAGGGAGCCTGCCTACCTGATGTCTATGTACATCCTTGTGTCAGGGAGCCTGCCTACCTGATGTCTATGTGCATCCTTCTGTCAGGGAGCCTGCCTACCTGATGTCTATGTACATCCTTGTGTCAGGGAGAATGCCTACCTGATGTCTATGTACATCCTTGTGTCAGGGAGCCTGCCTACCTGATGTCTATGTGCATCCTTCTGTCAGGGAGCCCGCCTACCTGATGTCTATGTGCATCCTTCTGTCAGGGAGCCTGCCTACCTGATGTCTATGTACATCCTTGTGTCAGGGAGCCCGCCTACCTGATGTCTATGTACATCCTTCTGTCAGGGAGCCTGCCTACCTGATGTCTATGTACATCCTTGTGTCAGGGAGCCTGCCTACCTGATGTCTATGTACATCCTTCTGTCAGGGAGCCTGCCTACCTGATGTCTATGTACATCCTTCTGTCAGGGAGCCTGCCTACCTGATGTCTATGTACATCCTTCTGTCAGGGAGCCCGCCTACCTGATGTCTATGTACATCCTTCTGTCAGGGAGAATGCCTACCTGATGTCTATGTACATCCTTCTGTCAGGGAGCCTGCCTACCTGATGTCTATGTGCATCCTTGTGTCAGGGAGCCTGCCTACCTGATGTCTATGTACATCCTTCTGTCAGGGAGCCTGCCTACCTGATGTCTATGTACATCCTTGTGTCAGGGAGCCTGCCTACCTGATGTCTATGTACATCCTTCTGTCAGGGAGCCTGCCTACCTGATGTCTATGTGCATCCTTCTGTCAGGGAGCCTGCCTACCTGATGTCTATGTACATCCTTCTGTCAGGGAGCCTGCCTACCTGATGTCTATGTGCATCCTTCTGTCAGGGAGCCTGCCTACCTGATGTCTATGTGCATCCTTGTGTCAGGGAGCCTGCCTACCTGATGTCTATGTGCATCCTTGTGTCAGGGAGCCTGCCTACCTGATGTCTATGTGCATCCTTGTGTCAGGGAGAATGCCTACCTGATGTCTATGTACATCCTTCTGTCAGGGAGCCTGCCTACCTGATGTCTATGTACATCCTTGTGTCAGGGAGCCCGCCTACCTGATGTCTATGTACATCCTTCTGTCAGGGAGCCTGCCTACCTGATGTCTATGTGCATCCTTCTGTCAGGGAGAATGCCTACCTGATGTCTATGTACATCCTTCTGTCAGGGAGCCTGCCTACCTGATGTCTATGTACATCCTTCTGTCAGGGAGCCCGCCTACCTGATGTCTATGTACATCCTTCTGTTAGGGAGCCTGCCTACCTGATGTCTATGTACATCCTTGTGTCAGGGAGAATGCCTACCTGATGTCTATGTACATCCTTCTGTCAGGGAGCCCACCTACCTGATGTCTATGTACATCCTTCTGTCAGGGAGCCTGCCTACCTGATGTCTATGTACATCCTTCTGTCAGGGAGCCTGCCTACCTGATGTCTATGTACATCCTTCTGTCAGGGAGCCTGCCTACCTGATGTCTATGTACATCCTTCTGTCAGGGAGCCTGCCTACCTGATGTCTATGTACATCCTTCTGTCAGGGAGCCTGCCTACCTGATGTCTATGTACATCCTTCTGTCAGGGAGCCTGCCTACCTGATGTCTATGTGCATCCTTGTGTCAGGGAGCCTGCCTACCTGATGTCTATGTGCATCCTTCTGTCAGGGAGCCTGCCTACCTGATGTCTATGTGCATCCTTGTGTCAGGGAGCCTGCCTACCTGATGTCTATGTGCATCCTTCTGTCAGGGAGCCTGCCTACCTGATGTCTATGTACATCCTTCTGTCAGGGAGCCTGCCTACCTGATGTCTATGTACATCCTTCTGTCAGGGAGCCTGCCTACCTGATGTCTATGTACATCCTTCTGTCAGGGAGAATGCCTACCTGATGTCTATGTGCATCCTTCTGTCAGGGAGCCCGCCTACCTGATGTCTATGTACATCCTTGTGTCAGGGAGCCTGCCTACCTGATGTCTATGTACATCCTTGTGTCAGGGAACCTGCCTACCTGATGTCTATGTACATCCTTGTGTCAGGGAGCCTGCCTACCTGATGTCTATGTACATCCTTCTGTCAGGGAGAATGCCTACCTGATGTCTATGTGCATCCTTCTGTCAGGGAGCCTGCCTACCTGATGTCTATGTACATCCTTGTGTCAGGGAGCCTGCCTACCTGATGTCTATGTACATCCTTGTGTCAGGGAGCCTGCCTACCTGATGTCTATGTACATCCTTCTGTCAGGGAGCCCGCCTACCTGATGTCTATGTGCATCCTTCTGTCAGGGAGCCTGCCTACCTGATGTCTATGTACATCCTTCTGTCAGGGAGCCTGCCTACCTGATGTCTATGTGCATCCTTCTGTCAGGGAGCCTGCCTACCTGATGTCTATGTGCATCCTTGTGTCAGGGAGAATGCCTACCTGATGTCTATGTACATCCTTCTGTCAGGGAGCCCGCCTACCTGATGTCTATGTACATCCTTGTGTCAGGGAGCCTGCCTACCTGATGTCTATGTGCATCCTTCTGTCAGGGAGCCTGCCTACCTGATGTCTATGTGCATCCTTGTGTCAGGGAGCCTGCCTACCTGATGTCTATGTGCATCCTTCTGTCAGGGAGCCTGCCTACCTGATGTCTATGTGCATCCTTGTGTCAGGGAGCCTGCCTACCTGATGTCTATGTACGGCCTGTGTTCCTCATCACAGTAGGCCTCGTTCAGCTTGTCCAGCACCTCGAAGCCCTCCGCCACCTGGCCAAACACAGTGTGCTGACCATCCAGGTAATCCAGCTCGTCCTCAAGGGTGATGAAGAACTGCAAGCAGTGTCTCAAACTTGGCATTCCTCGACTTTATACATGAAACCTGGGTGACATTGTACAAAACAACCTTAGTGCTACTACTGTTGTAATTCTGTGTTAAGGTATGGGAGTTATGATAACCTTAGCGCTAAGATCGCTTTGTACAACGGCACCCAGACCAATCTAATTTCTTGTTACACAGACTTATAATTTTAAGATTATTTGACAAGGATACCATAACAAAGACACTGTCATACACAGTTGGTGACTGTCATAACTACTGTATAAACTTGTGCAAATTCCAGCTTGATAATGGAAAAGAATCTTCATCGAAACGTCACTAATAATAAACCAGAAGATGTCGTCCTTAGAGTAGCATGTTTTGTTATTTACTCACCAACTTTAAACTGCCAATCAAACAGTTGTGTAAACAATCAGACCACACTTGACTCTGACCTTGACCCAAATCATGACTCTAGCACTCAGCTGTATAACTTACGTTGTGTTTGTTATGTCATTGTTTTGGTCGGTGTGCAGTGATTGAGAACATGACATGACAATAAACTCCAATATGTCCTTTTGCTGTTGTACAAAGCGATCTCAACCTTAAGGTGATCGTAACTCCCATACCTTAACATAGACTTACGACAGTCGTAGTGCTAAGGTGGTTTTGTACAACACCCAGATAAGTATGTGTCACTTTATTACTGCAAGCAAGGGACACTTGCATTTTACCAATTTATGTCATGATTTACAGAATGATGAATGCCCCAGGCTGCTGTATGATGGTGTACCTGTGAACCGTGCATGCCGCTGCCATTGTTGACCATAGAAACTGTCCCCTTGGTCCGATGTTTCATCCTGGGATTCGTCTCCATGTCAAAGAAGCGGGCCTGCTCACCATAGAGCTGACTGTGAGCAGATAATGACCAGACTTAATATGTCATTCAAATTTCATGCAAAAGGGTTAACATACTTCATATAACATATTTATAACCACTTCTTAAAATACGGTAATTGTCCCAATGCCAAGACATCAAGAGATTATCAAGTACTGGTGAATATTACACTAAATACTAAACATGCAAACTTGACCACTCAGGATCACATTGACCTGCAGATTTCAATTTGTGTTCCTTAAGGAAAAGACAAAGATACGTACGTGAAGATGGATTCTCCGCCCTTCCCTGTCCCCGATGGATCTCCAGTCTGGGCAACTAGTTTCTTCTGTTGAAGGAAAGTAAGAGTAGTTTAGTCAGCTTGTAGCTACATATCTGGATCGACAAAAATGCCACAATTCACAACTTACATGACAAAATAACACACCTATTGCCAACTCACCTGAACGGAGTGAAACAGTGAGAAGTTGTAATACTTCACTTTGCATAGCTTCAGGAAATTGAGACAACCTGAAACAGAAACATTTTTTTGTCCTCATTAATCGTTGGTTTATGCCCATATAACATACAAATCAAGAAGAAATCTGCGTCTGAGATTACACGATAATATAGAGTCATACTCTATCATAAAAACTAGATGTATGTAAAAATTACATATTCATGTGTGCCACTTCGATCCTTATGTGTTATAACTAGCATAGGTGGGAGTAGTGCACTTTTCAGGGAGCACTTTTTCAGATCCAATTAGTGCTGTGGGGGCTCGAATGCGCTTCACCGGCTCACGGGCTCTGCTAATTAATGTGTTAATAAGCCGACGCTCTATCACTGGACCATGGGCGCTATTACATGTAATCAGTGCTCGTTTAATGGGTCATTAGAATCCCAATTAACATGCATGCGTAATTCAGTAAACAATCAATTGCGCATGCGTGTGACGTCAAGCTCCGCTCTCCCATTCATCTTTTCTTGAAACCACACCCGCCATTGTTTATGTTAACATGACCGACCAATCGGATTAACCGGATTAACGTTTGAAAAGGCAAGAATTTATGGCTAACCCTTGCCCAAAGCAAGCTAACCCTAAGGACCGAAAAGGGGTTTTGGATCTTTAAGACGTGTAAGTTTCCCTAAGACGGAAAAAAGGGGTGTTGAATCGTAAAGACATGTAAGTTTCCCTAAGACCGAAAACAGGTGTTGGATCGTGAAGCGAGAGTCACCGTGGCGTGAGGCACGGTAACGGTATAGTGAGACAGCGGTGGCACTATCACACGGTAATTGAGCGGATGGTAGAGCTTGGGCTGCACCCGGTAAACTGCATTGTTGCCGCATTGGTTACCCCCAACTCTATCCTTAGACCGTGATTCATTGAATGAAAAGAGTATCGAACATATTCTAATAGGATAGAGGTTCCAAGTATTTTTTTTTAAAATAAATGAAATTCTCCTGCTACCATGACTACAACAAACGTTAGAGTGACGCTGAGCAGAAGATCCGTTCATCGTTTGAAATTTCAACATCTTAAAATTCCTCTGAATAGATGTGTCCAGATAATCCATGATCGTGAGAGCGGTATTCTAATCAACACAAGTTGTGCACGAAAAACGGGCGTCTTACACATGGATGTAGTGCAATTCAACCGAGATTTAAAACAAAGATCACGCTTACGATAAAACTTTAGAACAATGAAAAGCGAAAATAGTTCTTACATCTCGGTCGTTCATCGGTGTACAAGTCGATAGTTATATCGCCGACTGACGTTTCAAGTATGACCGACATCGTTTTCCCCAATGGAACCGGAAGAGGGGTACAACGTTATTTTTTTCGTAAAAGAGCTTTATAAGGGAAGTAATTTCAACAAAAACTAATATTTTGGAAACCACTAAAAATAATTTTCAAACTTTCTGAGGTGCTCCTCACGCACATTAATAATTTGTACGCATGTAATGTGAGCGGCAATCCAAACTGTGTTTCATAATTGATCTTCTTTTCAGGTAACGGGAGTTATATCGTGGAAATTTGTGTTTAGAGATTGATTTGCGTCTGTGGTCAATTTTACTTGAGGTCTGTTAAAAATCAGAAAAACAGTATTTTTGTTTGAGACAAGAATATATTTTCAGGCCACGCTCAAAGAAGGGGCCAAAATAATTTTGGACTCACAACACATCATTTTTCAGGAAATCCAGCCTTATTAATGAACAACTGTAGCTTTAAAAAATCGGGGTAAATCTGAGGAGAAATTATTTTGTAAAGGCACATTCGAAAACATTTCATTTTTTTCAATACATCTCCACCCCACCACACCACCCCGTTCACCATATTTTAATGAGTAAATTTAGATTCCCTGGATTTGTTTCATGCACCCCTTAGTTTCGTCACCATTTAAACATATATGTTTCAAACCTTAGTTGTTCACAATATTGTTGATTCATTTTCTTTTAATGTATTTCATGCAGAATACCTTTTGCCAATAAGTCCACTTCTAATGTTTTGAGAGACGAAGGTTTGAGGATAATAACTGGATTGGATTTCACCAATTACTCATGAGAAGGTGGGAGCCGCTTTGGACAATCTCAAAACTTCAAAATCTCCCGGGTATAATAATATTATTGCCGAATTTTTTAAGCATTCAAGTGATATTCCATTACCGCATTTTATTGTTTTATGAAATGGACTTTTTGAGGGTTGTGTTTTCCAAGAATCGTGGTCGATAGGACTGATAGTGCCATTACATAAGAATGGAATCTTAATTCTACATCTAATTATAGAGGTATAACAATTTTGAATGTCTTTAGTAAAATTTATATTTCAGATTAAGAGTCTGGTGTAATGCCTATGAAAACGTTTCGGAATCGAAAGCCGGTTTCCGGCAGGGTTATTCAGCCATGTATAATGTTTTCATATTACAGTTTGTTGCTGGTCGTCTCTTGGGGAAAACGAAAGGCAAATTCTCTGTTTTATTTGTGGATTTTGATTAGGCTTTCGATTTAGTAAATCGTTCTGAATTATGGTCAGCCCTACAATACAATGGAGTTTCGCCAAAAATGTTGGGTTGTATCAAGTCTATTTATGAAAGTGTAAAATCGTGCATTAAATTTTATATTTTAGTTTCAGACTTTTTTTTACTGTAGCGTGGGGGTTCGTCGTGTGTCTTTAGCCCCTTGATGTTTGATCTTGTTTAAGTAGACATACTGTTCTGGGTGTAAATCATGTTGTACCACATTGTAATAATACTTTCAGATACAGATTGAGACCAATTTTGTAAATAAATATCTTTTAGTCTTTGTGTCAATGATCTTATGAAATAAGAATGATAGTTTTTTTGCTGTACATGGTGGTTCCCTAGTGAATGCTGCTGTTCCACGTGCTGTATGCAGTCCAGCATTATCGTGGATTGTTCATAACTAGGACAAAGTGCGGCACTACTATTTCATCACAACAGCGTCTGGCTCTAATATTCCATCACAACAGCGTTTGGCTCTAATATTTAATCACAATAGGGCTAGGCTCTAATATTTTATCACAATAGCATGTGGACGTAACGTTACCTTGCTTGTTCTTTCTGCCCGGTGGGGAGATTACCTCACATATCATTACTCTGCCACCACCAAATCTGTCGAGCGCCTGCATGCAGTTGGCGGCGACATGTTAATGGCGCTGTTGGTACCCCTGGCTCTACCATCAGCTGGATACAGCATAAATCTTGAGACTGAATCCATCCTTGAACAAACAGTTCTCCAACGCTGGTTAGGCCATACCTTGTGTGTTTGACATCACTGGCATTGCAGTTGACCATGTTGATGTGTCAAAAGAACACTCGGACACCTCCCTCAAGGAGGTCTTTCCCCACTGTCTGGTCACGTATACCAGATACAAGTGGGAGTTAAAATACACCCGATATTTTTCATATGACTATAGATAATCTGTCATGACAGAAAGGTGTTTTTTAACTTCTTTGGAGTGGTATATATTCTTCGCAATCCTGGAATTGCGTTGTTGTACATGTTTGCCACAAAACAAATGAGGTAGTGGGATAAAGCTAGCTACAGCGATTCTCCTGCTTCCAACTGTCAACTGTCAGACAAACATTGTTCCACTGTGCTTCCGTTAGTGGTGGCACGACTTGGCAGTTACTAGCAGTTTGTCAATGGAGAATTCCCAGGTTTTGTATGTCTAGTCATGATGTTTCAGGTGCAAAAGCTTGCACATGCATTAATCCGTGCACTGGTGAAGATCTGGGTAGAATAGGTCTTCAGCAACCCATGCTTGCCGTAAATGGTGACTAACAGGATCAGGTGGTCAGGCCCATTGATGCGTGTCATTGCATCCCAATTGCGTAGATGGATGCTCATGATGTCAACCACTGGACTGTCTGGTCTGGACTTGATTATTAACAGACCGCCCTCATAACACTGGAATATTGCTAACTGTGGCATTAATAAACAAACAAATAAAATGCAATCCCGTGGTTCTCATGTGTTGGTAGTTTTGTGTATTGTTAGGTTTGGGTTATGCATTTTGAGTATTAATCTGGCACCACATGACAAACTGGTGCTGACTTTTTATAGCTGGAATATTGCTGGAACATGCACTCACAGCCTCTAATTCCTGGGTCTGCAGTGGCCAAAGATGGGTGACAAGTGACACAGAGGAGACGAACTCCAGATTGTTCTCGATGATTGTGTTCTAGTTTCCAGCTGACTTTCTGTTGACCTAGATTCGTTCATGGTGTGAAACCATTTCCTCAAATTGAAAATATATTCTTTAATTGTGAAAGGTAATTGCAGTCCTGGGTTGACTATCATATCCAAACACAAATGTAACCGACGCTTCATTACAAAGTAGACACAACTTCTGTAAAAAGATTTAACTGAAAATAGATATACTTTTAAAACTACTTAAAAACATATAGTCAATCGAGGAATTTATTGCTATAAAAAAGGATGACAAAAATAACTTGGTCACTTTTCTCAGCATTTGATTCTTAGCCCTCTGTTGATACATGCTATGTTTGATTCTGATTGTGTGTTGCAACTGTTTTGGTTTGAAATGTGACAGTTTGTTTTCAAACCTTTACAGTTTTAAAGAGTTTATTGCGTCATTCTATGCAATCTGAAATATGTTTTGACGGAATACTTTTGATCCTTATACTATTGTTCAGCAAGACTGATTGGCAACATTATAACAGTAAAATAAAGGAGTTGTCATCCATAACTAAAGAGATGCCTATCAAACAAGACACTGTATTACATATGATAAATTTATTACATTATGTACAATCAATATTCAAGAATTCCTTTTTTTTGTTTCTTCTTCTTTTTCTTCTTCTTCTTCTTCCCCTGCCCGCCTGTTGTCTCCCCCAATTCCTTCATCATTTCTTCTTCCTCATCATCTGCAGCCATGTCTGGTGTTGCCATGGCAATCATATCCTCTTCCAGTTCGTCAGGTAAATCCTTGTCGTCTCCTTTGCACTCCGCCTGTAGAGTCGCAGACATACGACTGTGGAAGTGCTTCCTCACTGCAATGTAAAATAATAATAATAAAAATTTAAAATCTATTTATATAGCGCCAATTTCCATCTAGGCTGCTAACTGGTGCTTTGACATTCTTATTACCTTGGTCAGTGTGCACTCGATTATCATTCTCAGCTCCCAATCCAAGCCTGTTAAGTTTAAGAGTCATGTCATCCACCATTCCCCTGTGGTCAGTACCCCTGTGGTCAGTATCACTGTGGTCAGTATCTCTATGGTCAGTATCCCTGTGGTCAGTGCCCCTGTGGTCAGTACCCCTATGGTCAGTATCCCTGTGGTCAGTACCCCTGTGGTCAGTGCCCCTGTGGTCAGTATCCCTGTGGTCAGTGCTGTGGTTAATGCCCCTGTGGTCAGTACCCCTGTGGTCAGTGCCCCTGTGGTCAGTATCCCTGTGGTCAGTACCCCTGTGGTCAGTATCCCTGTGGTCAGTACCCCTGTGGTCAGTGCCCCTGTGGTCAGTACCCCTGTGGTCAGTACCCCTGTGGTCAGTATCCCTGTGGTCAGTGCCCCTGTGGTCAGTGCCCCTGTGGTCAATACCCCTGTGGTCAGTGCAGCTGTGGTCAGTGCCCCTGTGGTCAGTGTCCCTTTGGTCAGTGCAGCTGTGGTCAGTACCCCTGTGGTCAATACCCCTGTGGTCAGTGCAGCTGTGGTCAGTACCCCTGTGGTCAGTACCCCTGTATTCAGTACCCACCGGTTGCACTTTCCCGGATGTCCCAGACCTTCATCTCCTTTTCCCCGCCAAACGCGAACACAAACGGGGCGTCGGGGCAGCTGTCAACACAATACAGCTCACTCTGCAACACAAACACCCCTGTATAAACAACTTGTGTTAACTTACAAGGTCCATCGATCACTGATCAGATCTAAATAGAAGTAAATATGAAACTTTTGAACTCCTCTCTAAGCCTATGAGACTGAGAGTCTCTGACGCAGATTTCAGACTTGTGACTCACCATCTTCAAGTTCCGCTCCAATACCAGTGACGGCTTGCCAGACTCCATGTCCCAAACCTTCATCATCTTGTCTGATGAGGTCGTCACCAGCAACCCCCTTGTGGCACTGCTCAGGCAAATACCTGCAACAACAGCGTGGTGAGACACGTTGGTTGGACTATTTCTGGACTCACCTTCACAAGTGTACTCCCACACTGACACACACACGGACACACTGCTGTAGCACTGTTGTCACTTTGTGCACACGACCCAGGAGTTCTCATTCATTCATCATTTGCACAAAGTTAAGCAGGTTTGTTTGTGAATAAATCATCCTCATCCAGGTACCCATTCACTGCTGGCTGAAGAAAGGCGTATGTCCACCAAACACACTTGTCTAAGGCATCTTACTGAGGCAAGGGAGTTAACTCTTATAAAAGTCCACACTCCACCTGTGCCGAACTAGACTGGAATTGGCTTTGAGTTATGCCCCTTCTAAGTCCCTCCTATTGACCAATTAGATTCCACCTCTGAGATCACTTGCATTTGTTTCAAACAAAATGGCGGCATTCATTCAAGATGAGTTAGTGAGTGAGTGAGTTGGGTTTAACCTTGCCTGATCTGTAACCATGAGCCTAGGATTCAAACCCAGGAACGCAGGATTCTGACCTGCCTCAGGGATCCAACTATGCACAGCGAATTTACAGCATCAGAACAACTAGGCACTCATGACCCAGGGGGACACAAACTACTCTTTAACATGAGGGCAAGAAAAGTTTGGTTAAATATATATGCCCCATTTAAAGCAGCACCTGTGCATATCTAGTTTAGTTGAGTCAGGGGAGGTAACCCACCTGTGACAGCCTCGGAGTGTGCTGACAGCGTGAAGACTGGCTTACTGTCGTGACGGATGTCCATGTAGTAGATGATGCCTTGATCTGTCGTCACCTGACAACCACAATGTCATAATACAAGGGCCGGGATGTCATAAAAAAAAAAAAAACAGTTGTGTTGGGAACTACAGTAAACTACTTCAAAGGAAGCACTAATTTTAATTTGTTATATCCGTCGTTCGTTACACACATTTCGACTGACAGACATCTTTTATCAAGTCATGTGACCAATAGAACAGTTCGTTATATCCGTCAGTTCATTATAAGCGTAGTTTACTGTACTTTAAAAAAATGGAAGCCTTGGTGGCTGAGTGGGTTAGAACGCTGACTTTGTGTACTGGTGATTAGGTGCCTCACTCTGGCAGTGTGGGTTCGAATCCTGGATAAGACTCAACCCCAAAAAGTACTCAAATCTGTACTTTACTAAGAAAGTGCTATACCAAATATAACATTTGTTACATAGAAAAAGTAACTTAACCATGTCTTAATACAAGGGCTGAGATGTCTTAAAAAAAACAAAAAACATTTGTGCTGGAAAATTTATGAAAAAATAACCTGCCCTCACTGAGTTTTGTTACCATGGTTACACTCCTCCTCTTACAGACAAAATGTCTTGAGTGAGTGAGTGAGTGAGTGAGGTTTAACGCCGCTTTTAACAGTATTCCAGTTATATCACGGCGTGTCAGCTTAATGTGGGAGGAAAGCCCCAAGTGATGCAGGTCTCAGACGTTAACCACTTCAGTGAAACCCACGAGCACGGGTATGGTGCTGACAAACCTAGAAACATAATTGGGGCGAACCGGTATTCGAACCCACAATCATAGGTTTCTGGCGTGCCCAAGGGACACGACTCTGCACAGCGAATCGCGGCGCCTTAGATGGCTGGGCCACCCGTGCCCCCTAAAATGTCTTGAAGCACTGCCTAGAACATGTTTCTGGAAAATAGCACCTAAACTCACGAAGAAGTTGACTGGGGACTGGTTGTTCCATAGCACCTTCTCCACTTCACCCTGCACTTCCCAGGTCTTGTGATTCTCCTCCGGACTCCGACAGTCGTACACACGGGCAGTCCTGACATAAGACACATACCAATAAACATCAGAGCCTGTGTGTGGGTGTGTACCCCACCTCCCGATGTCAGACACCTCGTGTCAACCCGTGTGTGGGCGTGTACCCCACCTCCCGATGTCAGACACCTCGTGTCAACCCGTGTGTGGGCGTGTACCCCACCTCCCGATGTCAGACACCTCGTGTCAACCTGTGTGTGGGCGTGTACCCCACCTCCCGATGTCAGACACCTTGTGTCAACCCGTGTGTGGGCGTGTACACCACCTCCCGATGTCAGACACCTCGTGTCAACCTGTGTGTGGGTGTTCCCCACCTCCCGATGTCAGACACCTCGTGTCAACCCGTGTGTGGGCGTGTACCCCACCTCCCGATGTCAGACACCTCGTGTCAACCCGTGTGTGGGCGTGTACCCCACCTCCCGATGTCAGACACCTCGTGTCAACCCGTGTGTGGGCGTGTACCCCACCTCCCGATGTCAGACACCTCGTGTCAACCCGTGTGTGGGCGTGTACCCCACCTCCCGATGTCAGACACCTCGTGTCAACCCGTGTGTGGGCGTGTACCCCACTCCCGATGTCAGACACCTCGTCTCAACCTGTGTGTGGGCGTGTACCCCACCTCCCGATGTCAGACACCTCGTGTCAACCCGTGTGTGGACGTGTACCCCACCTCCCGATGTCAGACACCTCGTCTCAACCTGTGTGTGGGCGTGTACCCCACCTCCCGATGTCAGACACCTCGTGTCAACCCGTGTGTGGGCGTGTACCCCACCTCCCGATGTCAGACACCTCGTGTCAACCTGTGTGTGGGCGTGTACCCCACCTCCCGATGTCAGACACATATGATTACGTCAGATTAATGAGTATATCGGATAAACAAAATTAAGTTGTATCAATGTTTGTGATCGAAAATCGGACCACTACATTATAGATAATGATACAAACACATTGCAATAATACCAGTAAATGAGAAAGGAAATATTCATATTGTTATGTTACGTTGTTTGCAGATGACCATGGAGTATGCTGATCACTGTGTCTGATTAACAAGACTGATTAATGAGTGATTTCGGTACTTCGTTGCAAATTAGGTGTGTGAGAGTCGGAATGTGAGACTGTCAGATTAACAGATCTAAATAGGACTGATTTAATTTTTCCCATCATTCGTGTCTGATTGTCAGATTGTTGGATTAATGAGTGTCAGATTAACAAGACTTGACTGTATTGGTGTTTGTATACGTTCCAACTTCAGAAAGCCCACTTTTTTTAAAAAAAGCTTCTTCTTAAAACCCTGGATCCACCTCAGCCATACAGTGTTTGAAATTACTTAAAGGCAAGGGTCATAAATAAAATAAATAAGACAACACTTAGGGGTCCCCAGGTTCGAACACTATAGAATAAATCCTGAAGGACAGAATGATGCCTCTTCAGTGTTTGAAATTAAGCATGGAATCATGGGGGTTTGTCATAACTGACTGGTTGGTTGGTTTGTTCTTTAACGCAGCACTCAGCAATATTCCAGCTATATGACGGCGGTCTGTAAATAATCGAGTCTGGACCAGACAATCCAGTGATTAATATCATGAAAATCGATCCACGCAATTGGGATCGATGACATGCATGAACCAAGTCAGCGAGATTGACCACCCGATCCCGTTGGTCGCCTCTTACGACAAGCATAGTCGCCTTTTACGGTAAGCATGGATTGCTGAAGACCTATTCTACCCTGGAATCTTCACGGGTAGAAGAAGCCGAATGGGTTGTTTTGAGTAGCTTGACAGTTAGAATAAGGAGAGACAATGTTGCTGTATACATTCATACAATTTACTGACATAAGTATGTATGTATGAGATGCACTGAAAGCAAACATCATGGGGACACCCCTTCAACAACCATTGTTATGCCGTGGTTTGCAATAAATAGATAGGATTTCACAGCTGTAGATAGAGAATTACAATAGTATAAGGCTGCTGTAGTCCCCAATATCCGAATACTTTGAATATTGCAGGAACAATAACTCTACAATTTCTTAACTTCAAAATACCTTCAAGATTATCGTTCTAAATTGATCAGGTTATTCAAGAAATATGTGCCAACTGTATGATGTGTACTTACTGGTCGAAGCCCCCAGACAGGAGTGTCTGTGCCTCCCGCGGGTGCCACTGTATCGCCTGTACCTGGAACACAGAGTGATTGAGTGAATGTCGTGTAAATTATCTCCATTTACTCTCATCCATGTCAAATCCTCTAGTGGACATATTGAAAGCTGATGCAGTTATCAGTTTGTAACTTCATCAGTTAGAGACAGGTTATACTCTGGCATTAACACATACATACTTATCTACATAAATATGTTGTTCACCTTATCCGTGTGCTGTCTGATTGAAGTGACAACCTTCTGCTCAGCTAAATCCCACAATGCAATAGTGTTGTCCGCTGATGCACTGGCAAGCACGTTACTGAAGAGAAGCAGCAGATACAGTCAGCATGACAGAGATCACAACACACATGTAGCCCAAATGAGAAAAAACACTTGTCATTTTTGTGTCATTTATGTCATGATACAATAAAAAGAAAGAAATTCTGCGAAATTATAAACAAGAGCCTCGGGGCTTAAAAGTTAACCAAAGTATAAGTTTATTGCACTATTTCAATCTAAAATACCAAGGATGGTAAAACATGCTAAGTGTAAATACATAAAATACAATCAATGCCATGAACAATATTTAAACAGACATTAATTAACCCTCCCACCTCTAAAAGAATTGGAACATATTTGTGCATTCAGTTGGTGGTTAAGGGGGTTAATCCTCTAGTAATCACGGTTTCGTCATCTGACCACGACCGTGTCAGATACCCTGGTTGATTGATGTCAAAGAATGGTGGATTGCCTGAATCTCCTGGAAACTTACCCAACCAGAAGAGAAAGGAAAATTTCTATCCTTTGAATCTTTTGTTAAGAAATTTAATTTACAAACAAATTCCTTGACATACATGGGCATTATAAACTCTATAACACAATACTGCCGAAACAAAAGTATCAGCTGGAAGAATTTGAGACCCCTCTTAAATCCCATTAGATCCTTTAATATATAACACCTACAGAAATGTGAAAAAGGCACTCAATACTTTTACTAACATTTAGTTAAAAACATTATGTAAAAAATCAACACTCTATAACAGGGGAAAATCTTTTAAAAGTAGAAATATCTTTAGAGGACTGGACAAACTATAACAGCATACCCTGTAGGTGCACTTTAGATACTAAGCTTCAATGGTTTCAATACAGAATTCAAGACCACTTCCTACCTACCAAAAATATGTTATCAAAAATGGGATATGTAGACAGCAATATATGTAGCATTTGTGACACGCACATAGAAACGACTGAACGTTTGTTTTGGGATTGCAGCAAAGTAAAAACAATCTAGACAGCACTGGAACTTTGGCTAAATACCAGCGAAAAGACACAAAGCATATTCCATGATCGTTCCAGATCTTCCAGAATGACTGAAGCAGTATTACCCCATCCCCACATGTACAGCCCTGATGAGTGGGAGTTCAGACAGATTCTATCAATATTGGTCATCATGACATACACTTTATTTGTAACATGGAAGTCACTGTTTTCTGTTTTGTAAAAACATTATGAAATGCAACAAAAAAAATTTAAGAAAACCAAAGCTTACCCAACCACGGAATTCCAGGACAAGTCCAGCACGGATTCTGTATGACTTTGTGCTGCTCCTGGCTGAAGGGAAATGTTATTACATATTACCATTCAGGTTCTTGTAACGCCGCCATTTACCTTCTTGTACATGTCACAATCCACGTTCTTCAACATGTGACCATGCACGTTCGTGTACGTGTCGCCATGTATGTTCTTGTACACGTTGCCATAAATGTCATACATGTCACACACATCTCCTTATAACATACAAATCATAATGAGTGAGTGAGTGAGTTGGGTTTGACGCCGCTTTTAACAGTATTACAGTTATATCGCGGCGTGTCAGCTTAAAGTGGGAGGAAATCCCCAAGTGATGCAGGTCTTAGACGTTTACCACTTCAGTGAAACCCACGAGCACGGGCATGGTGCTGACAAACCTTGAAACATAATCGGGGTCAACTGGGATTTGAACCCACAATCACAGGTTTCTGGCGTGCCCAAGGGACGCAACTCTGCACAGCGAATCGCTGCGCTTTAGACGGCTGGGCCACCCGTGGCCCCCAAACACATCATAACTGTATAACACATCATTAGAAGGATCATAACACACGTGACCATAAAAATTCCCATACACGTCCTCACACACACCATGAGAAACATCACACACTTCTTCATACAAGTCAAACATCACAGTTCAAACTTGCAGTAAACCATCACAGCTCATACTTGCAGTCAAACATCACAGCTCAAACTTGCAGTCAAACATCACAGCTCATACTTCCAGTCAAACATCACAGCTCATACTTCCAGTCAAACATCACAGCTCAAACTTGCAGTCAAACATCACAGCTCATACTTGCAGTCAAACATCACAGCTCAAACATGCAGTCAAACATCACAGCTCAAACTTGCAGTCAAACATCACAGCTCATACTTCCAGTCAAACATCACAGCTCATACTTCCAGTCAAACATCACAGCTCATACTTCCAGTCAAACATCACAGCTCATACTTCCAGTCAAACACATCATTAGAAGGATCATAACACACGTGACCATAAAAATTCCCATACACGTCCTCACACACACCATGAGAAACATCACACACTTCTTCATACAAGTCAAACATCACAGTTCAAACTTGCAGTAAACCATCACAGCTCATACTTGCAGTCAAACATCACAGCTCAAACTTGCAGTGGACCATCACAGCTCATACTTGCAGTCAAACATCACAGCTCAAACTTGCAGACAAACATCACAGCTCATACTTCCAGTCAAACACATCATTAGAAGGATCATAACACACGTGACCATAAAAATTCCCATACACGTCCTCACACACACCATGAGAAACATCACACACTTCTTCATACAAGTCAAACATCACAGTTCAAACTTGCAGTAAACCATCACAGCTCATACTTGCCGTCAAACATCACAGCTCAAACTTGCAGTCAAACATCACAGCTCAAACTTGCAGTGGACCATCACAGCTCATACTTGCAGTCAAACATCACAGCTCAAACTTGCAGACAAACATCACAGCTCATACTTCCAGTCAAACACATCATTAGAAGGATCATCACACACGTGACCATAAAAATTCCCATACACGTCCTCACACACACCATGAGAAACATCACACACTTCTTCATACAAGTCAAACATCACAGTTCAAACTTGCAGTAAACCATCACAGCTCATACTTGCAGTCAAACATCACAGCTCAAACTTGCAGTCAAACATCACAGCTCAAACTTGCAGTGGACCATCACAGCTCATACTTGCAGTCAAACATCACAGCTCAAACTTGCAGACAAACATCACAGCTCATACTTCCAGTCAAACACATCATTAGAAGGATCATCACACACGTGACCATAAAAATTCCCATACACGTCCTCACACACACCATGAGAAACATCACACACTTCTTCATACAAGTCAAACATCACAGTTCAAACTTGCAGTAAACCATCACAGCTCATACTTGCAGTCAAACATCACAGCTCAAACTTGCAGTCAAACATCACAGCTCAAACTTGCAGTGGACCATCACAGCTCATACTTGCAGTCAAACATCACAGCTCAAACTTGCAGTCAAACATCACAGCTCATACTTCCAGTCAAACACATCATTAGAAGGATCATCACACACGTGACCATAAAAATTCCCATACACGTCCTCACACACACCATGAGAAACATCACACACTTCTTCATACAAGTCAAACATCACAGTTCAAACTTGCAGTAAACCATCACAGCTCATACTTGCAGTCAAACATCACAGCTCAAACTTGCAGTCAAACATCACAGCTCAAACTTGCAGTGGACCATCACAGCTCATACTTGCAGTCAAACATCACAGCTCAAACTTCCAGTCAAACATCACAGCTCATACTTCCAGTCAAACACATCATTAGAAGGATCATCACACACGTGACCATAAAAATTCCCATACACGTCCTCACACACACCATGAGAAACATCACACACTTCTTCATACAAGTCAAACATCACAGTTCAAACTTGCAGTAAACCATCACAGCTCATACTTGCAGTCAAACATCACAGCTCAAACTTGCAGTCAAACATCACAGCTCAAACTTGCAGTGGACCATCACAGCTCATACTTGCAGTCAAACATCACAGCTCAAACTTCCAGTCAAACATCACAGCTCATACTTCCAGTCAAACACATCATTAGAAGGATCATCACACACGTGACCATAAAAATTCCCATACACGTCCTCACACACACCATGAGAAACATCACACACTTCTTCATACAAGTCAAATATCACAGTTCAAACTTGCAGTCAACCATCACAGCTCATACTTGCAGTCAAACATCACAGCTCAAACTTGCAGTCAAACATCACAGCTCATACTTCCAGTCAAACACATCATTAGAAGGATCATCACACACGTGACCATAAAAATTCCCATACACGTCCTCACACACCATGAGAAACATCACACACTTCTTCATACAAGTCAAATATCACAGTTCAAACTTGTAGTCAACCATCACAGCTCATACTTGCAGTCAAACATCACAGCTCATACTTGCAGTCAAACATCACAGCTCAAACTTGCAGTCAAACATCACAGCCCATACTTGCAGTCAAACGTCACAGCTCATGCTTGTCAAGGCAGTCAAGCATCACAGCTCATGCTTGCTGTCAGGGCAGTCAAGCATCAAAAGTGCTTACCCGTTTCTTCTTCTTTTTGACCTGTTTTGAGCCAAGCACAGCTGCAGGCTCGAGACAATCCACCACATCAAGGTTCCATATCTCTATCACCGGCTCCATGGTGGCCACAGCGGCATAGTTACCTGCCCATATCAGAGAAGGGGTTTATACATGTCTCTATCACCAGCTCCATGCACAGCGGCATAGTTACCTGCCCATATCAGAGAAGGGGTTTATACATGTCTCTATCACTGGCTCCATGCACAGCGGCATAATTACCTGCCCATATCAGAGAAGGGGTTAATACATGTCTCTATCACTGGCTCCATGCACAGCGGCATAATTACCTGCCCATATTGGGAGGATAATGTGGAGAGTTGGGAGGATACTGTGGAGAGTTGGGAGGATACTGTGGAGAGTTGGGAGGATACTTTGGAGAGTTGGGAGGATAATTTGGAGAGTTGGGAGGATACCGTGGAGAGTTGGGAGGATACCGTGGAGAGTTCGGAGGATACTGTGGAGAGTTGGGAGGATAACGTGGAGAGTTGGGAGGATACCGTGGAGAGTTGGGAGGATACTGTGGAGAGTTGGGAGGATACTGTGGAGAGTTGGGAGGATAATTTGGAGAGTTGGGAGGATACTGTGGAGAGTTGGGAGGATACCGTGGAGAGTTGGGAGGATACAGTGGAGAGTTGGGAGGATAATTTGGAGAGTTGGGAGGATACTGTGGAGAGTTGGGAGGATACCATGGAGAGTTGGGAGGATACCGTGGAGAGTTGGGAGGATACTGTGGAGAGTTGGGAGGATACTGTGGAGAGTTGGGAGGATACCGTGGAGAGTTGGGAGGATACTGTGGAGAGTTGGGAGGATAATTTGGAGAGTTGGGAGGATACTGTGGAGAGTTGGGAGGATACCGTGGAGAGTTGGGAGGATACAGTGGAGAGTTGGGAGGATAATTTGGAGAGTTGGGAGGATACTGTGGAGAGTTGGGAGGATACCATGGAGAGTTGGGAGGATACCGTGGAGAGTTGGGAGGATACTGTGGAGAGTTGGGAGGATACTGTGGAGAGTTGGGAGGATACTGTGGAGAGTTGGGAGGATACAGTGGAGAGTTGGGAGGATACTGTGGAGAGTTGGGAGGATACCGTGGAGAGTTGGAGAGTTGGGAGGATACCGTGGAGAGTTGGGAGGATACCGTGGAGAGTTTAAAGGATACCGTGGAGAGTTGGAGAGTTGGGAGGATACCGTGGAGAGTTGGGAGGATACCTTGGAGAGTTGGAGAGTTGGGAGGATACCGTGGAGAGTTGGGAGGATACCGTGGAGAGTTGGAGAGTTGGGAGGATACTGTGGAGAGTTGGGAGGATACTGTGGAGAGTTGGAGAGTTGGGAGGATACAGTGGAGAGTTGGGAGGATACTGTGGAGAGTTGGGAGGATACTGTGGAGAGTTGGAGAGTTGGGAGGATACCCTGGAGAGTTGGGAGGATACCGTGGAGAGTTGGGAGGATACTGTGGAGAGTTGGGAGGATACTGTGGAGAGTTGGGAGGATACTGTGGAGAGTTGGGAGGATACCGTGGAGAGTTGGGAGGATACCGTGGAGAGTTGGGAGGATACCGTGGAGAGTTGGGAGGATACTGTGGAGAGTTGGGAGGATACCCTGGAGAGTTGGGAGGATACTGTGGAGAGTTGGGAGGATACTGTGGAGAGTTGGGAAGATACAGTGGAGAGTTGGGGGGATACCGTGGAGAGTTGGGAGGATACTGTGGAGAGTTGGGAGAATACCGTGGAGAGTTGGAGAGTTGGGAGGATACTGTGGAGAGTTGGGAGGATACTGTGGAGAGTTGGAGAGTTGGGAGGATACTGTGGAGAGTTGGGAGGATACCGTGGAGAGTTGGGAGGATACTGTGGAGAGTTGGGAGGATACTGTGGAGAGTTGGGAGGATACCATGGAGAGTTGGGAGGATACCGTGGAGAGTTGGGAGGATACCGTGGAGAGTTGGGAGGATACTGTGGAGAGTTGGGAGGATACTGTGGAGAATTGGGAGGATACCGTGGAGAGTTGGAGAGTTGGGAGGATACCGTGGAGAGTTGGGAGGATACTGTGGAGAGTTGGGAAGATACAGTGGAGAGTTGGGAGGATACCGTGGAGAGTTGGGAGGATACTGTGGAGAGTTGGGAGGATACTGTGGAGAGTTGGGAGCATACCGTGGAGAGTTGGGAGGATACTGTGGAGAGTTGGGAGGATACTGTGGAGAGTTGGGAGGATACCCTGGAGAGTTGGGAGGATACCGTGGAGAGTTGGGAGGATACCGTGGAGAGTTGGGAGGATACTGTGAGAGTTGGGAGGATACCGTGGAGAGTTGGGAGGATACTGTGGAGAGTTGGGAGGATACCGTAGAGAGTTGGGAGGATACTGTGGAGAGTTGGAGAGTTGGGAGGATACCGTGGAGAGTTGGGAGGATACTGTGGAGAGTTGGGAGGATACTGTGGAGAGTTGGGAGGATATCGTGGAGAGTTGGGAGGATACCGTGGAGAGTTGGGAGGATACCGTGGAGAGTTGGGAGGATACCGTGGAGAGTTGGGAAGATACTGTGGAGAGTTGGAGAGTTGGGAGGATACCGTGGAGAGTTGGGAGGATACCGTGGAGAGTTGGGAGGATACCGTGGAGAGTTGGGAGGATACTGTGGAGAGTTGGAGAGTTGGGAGGATACAGTGGAGAGTTGGGAGGATACAGTGGAGAGTTGGGAGGATACCGTGGAGAGTTGGGAGGATACTGTGGAGAGTTGGGAGGATACCGTGGAGAGTTGGGAGGATACTTTGGAGAGTTGGGAGGATAATTTGGAGAGTTGGGAGGATACCGTGGAGAGTTGGGAGGATACCGTGGAGAGTTGGGAGGATAACGTGGAGAGTTGGGAGGATACCGTGGAGAGTTGGGAGGATAACGTGGAGAGTTGGGAGGATACCGTGGAGAGTTGGGAGGATACTGTGGAGAGTTGGGAGGATACCGTGGAGAGTTGGGAGGATACTGTGGAGAGTTGGGAGGATAATGTGGAGAGTTGGGAGGATACCGTGGAGAGTTGGGAGGATACCGTGGAGAATTGGGAGGATACAGTGGAGAGTTGGGAGGATACCGTGGAGAGTTGGGAGGATACCGTGGAGAGTTGGGAGGATACCGTGGAGAGTTGGGAGGATACCGTGAAGAGTTGGGGGGATACCGTGGAGAGTCGTGTTACCTGTTGAGGAATCTGTTGGGCTGAAGCTAAGCCACTCGACCGCCAGGGGGAAGGAAGACAGAAGGTAGTCATGGTGTACAAACAGGTTCCCCAGCGTCTCGTTGTACACTGACGGACAAACACAAAACATATAAAAAACTAATGCATCAGTGAGTGGTTTAGCACCTTACAGCAAAATATGTCAGTTATATCATGGTGCTACCAGCTCAAAATCCATAAATCATTATCATGGCATGTCATGGATTGTAACTCACTTGCACAGGATTCTGGCACACCCAAGGGATGTAACTCTGCACAGGGGATTGTGATGTCAAAACAGCCTGTCTGGGAAAGTCGGGCAGGTGGGAATTTAAAACGCTGATACTTGTTATTGACTACTGTATTTCAAAATACTGTTTTAGCAACTGAAATAGTAAGACCGTGAGAAACTTTCATGTTGTGACTGTTGATCGGCTGATCGCCATAGGTGACTAATCAAACTGTTCCATTCGAAAATAAATGGTAATATACCAAAGTGCTATCATTTTACTTAAACATATCAGAGCTACAGATAAGCAGCGTAGTTGCGTAAATTACCCAACCCCCCACCAAAAATATTCAAAACCCAATTACTTTCAATAAACTAAAATATTATTTCATTTTTTATAAAATCTTAAAATGTTCACTCTTTGGGGGAAAAACCCAATAGAGTTATGGGTAGATGAGTGAAAAATTATTGGTTACCCAATGAAAAATGAAATAACCCAATTAAAATAGAAACCCTAGAGTAAAAACTCAATTGCTCAAAAAGTTATCTGGAGCTCTGCATATATAGTAAACGCAGCAACAAAACTAACAAGACATTAGAATACATAGTATACATTATATCTAGTGCACTGACAGGTCTCCGACTGCTACCCACAAAGGTTAGACTCACTCACCATACACCTCCAGGAAGCAGTGGTCCTTGTGAGCTCTGCCGGCAAGCACCAAGTTGTCCATGGGTTTGATCTCAAAGTCTTCTTCATCACTGTCAACCTAGAAGAGAAGAGTCATTGTCTAATACTTGTCTCCACGGGCAACACACAGTAGACTGTTATTGCAAACACTAGATCATGTAGATGGAGAAATATTTTATCTACATTTTGATTGGCTGCCTTGTATGCTGTTAGCATGTGATTGGTTAATTAGCATGGATCTCATTAGGAACTACTTTCACAGGAACTACTTTCACCTGAACTAAAATCCTGATTACTTTCAAGTTAAAAGTGGGTCGCCATCTATCATATTCTTTTGAGTCTAGTGTGCATTTCTGTTTGTAAAAAAGCTGTGAAGAGAGGGGTGGGTATAATACATGCATACAATGAGTTTTGATGTTTTTCCCCAATGCAAAGACATTACCATGAGTGTGGTATTAGCTAAACCCTAAATGGGCCCCATCCTTTAATGGGCCTCAGCAAAAGACAGGATAGGGGAGAGAACTCTCACGAACATGCTGCTGGCTGCAAACACATGGCACCAGCCACACTCTTGTACACAGCTACACTTACAGTGATTAAACACAGTTAACGAACAAAGATATCTTTGTCATATCGCCACAATGAGCATATACCGGAAATACCATGTCAACAAATCTGAACTGAAGTGTGCAAATTAATCCCATTATTAGACTATCTGGTTCAACATGTTCAGCGTTCCCGCTGGCTTTGAAACAAATAAAAAAAACGTATGAAAATTACCTGGTTTTAATTCTTCAACATCGTGTTCAATGCAATGACGTCATCTTTGCAGTAACTTAGTTAGATCTACACGTCATTCACACAAAGTCCACTCACAAATTTCTCCTTTTAAAAATATTTTTACACTACGTCGCTAAAAATACATATTTAACCTCGAAGCAAGGCAAAATGTTATTTCCTTGCACTAAAATTGACAAAGGGAAACCCTGATGGTGACAGACAAGCTGACTTCATTCGAAAAATATTCTTATATGAATATCGCCGATGTTTTGTTCAACAATAAAGATTCATGAGGTACTTTATTTGACAGTCCACAGGGACTGGCAGTCACATGAATTACCGGTCCAAGTCTAATTTTACTGGTATTTACCGGTAAATGGGAACACTGTGGTTAAACAAAATGTTCATTATATACCTGAACTAATGTTTGTAATCTATTTTAGTTATTTTATTCAAAATTTCATTCACTATTGTTTACATTAGTTTTAGCTAAAACATATGGGAAACGACAGCATCCAGGATCTGATTACCGCTACTAATGGTATTGAACAGTTACCATGGTTACAAATCTGTGAAGAAACTTGAACAAATTATTTTGCGTAGCAAACCTTACATAAATATGCACCTAGTCTTTTATTAACAAAAGTACACTGTATTACTCCAGGGTAATGACTATGTAGTGTATTATACCCCATCTCACTACCTTCCATTAAATGAACCATGTGAGAGATGAATTCTGTGGGAGGTTATTGGGACGTGTGATGGAGGTGCTTACGTCACTACCCAAAGAAGCTGCATGATCGGGTCCAGGGTACTTGTCACAACAGAATAGCGACATGATACACTGGATAACCATGATAACCGTACACGTCTCTCATCATCCATTAGGGGGGAATCGATACATGGGTGCACCAGTGCATCATGCGTTTTCATGTGATGATACGATTAACAATACATTTTTTTTGTATCGATACAAGATGATACACTTGCTAAAAGAAACAACTCACTATTCGCTTAATGACCCCTGGCATTTATGTCAGTCAGATATCACAAAGTGTGTTATAATTAGCGTTTCAAGTTCACTACTAAAAATAGCCACAACGAACATGTGTCTACAGCCAGCTTTTCCTTCTGAACCTGCTCTGAAATATTTATTGTCAAGAAGTTTCCATGTGATTTGACGTAAATATGAGTATCGTGATACATATCATATCGTGACCTATGTATCGTGACCTTGCTGTCTCGTTTCACCTATCATCCAGACAGTTTCAGGTCTTGCAGCTGTTAAGGGAAGATGTGGACAGTCAAAGTTCACAATGGACCAACGACAACACAGCCTGAGATAAGCTCCACAAAGAAGTGAGGTGAGGTGAAATGGGGTTTAATGTCGTGTCCAAGATTATTGCACTTATATAGCGACACGCATGCACTTGTGTGTGTGTGTGTGTGTGGCTGCTTGTACTAGTCCGGACTGATGCCGATTTATAGTGCTAGCTCACTGAGATACCATGCCGCAGTTAAACATGAATACCCCACTCAGACACAGTATACTGACTCCGAGCCGACCAGTCCTTGTTTTAGACAATTAATGCTGAGCACCATACAGAGCTCCACCGAGAGCCACCATATTGTAGTATTACAGACTTACATCTTTGGGCACTGTCACATAGGGGTCTTCTTCATTACTGGCGTAGAACGACAGCCCCCCGACACCACTGATGAGGGCATCCTCTGGAAGCAAAGGGAACATTGTAACACTCACTTAAACTTACATAATTGACGTGTACCAAAAAATCTCTTATCATAAGTTTGTTTTAGACTTACATTATACTACAACACTCGAAAAAAAGATATTGTTGACATGAAACAGTCAGGGTGACCTATTTAAAAATGTGGATTTTTAATTCCAACTACAAAACTATTTTTTTCACTTTTGCACTGAAGAGCGCTTTACATGCCCCGTGTACGGGTGTCATCGATCACTGTCCTTTACTCAGCCCCTGTGGTTGCTTTTTCAAATGAAATATACACAACTACCATGAAAATACATAGCTATTTCTGCCTTTCGGTGAGTTCGCACTTCTTTGATAACAAAAACAGCATAAAAGATGTTTTAAAACAGGTCTAAAATGTTCTAATTGAATTACAACATGCAGCTATGGAAATGTTTTGTCACCCTGACTGTAACAATGTCCTCATCTACTAGGACCCCAGTCGGCAGTGCCAGCAATAAGAACACAGAATCAGAATATATCCTCATTAAGTCAAAACAAAACTAGGAGATATTTAATTAGGAGATAAACATACTGTGTTTTCAATGGAGAGCTAGGTTACCACCCTGCTAAATTGAGTTTGGAACCAAATGTGCAGCGTGAGGTTTCAACTGTTTAAGTTAGCGCGGTTAAATCTGCAGGTAACCTAGCTCTATATTGAAAACACAGTATGTTTATCTCCATTTTACCATGACTAAATAAAACATGAACTCTTTGGTGCTAGCAAATATATTGAGTGAAGCGGCATGGATTGAGTCCAGTCTTTTGAGTGGGTTGTCCATGTGAATTACGGATACATCGACAGCAGCCTTTAAACAAAATATGGCACTGTATATGCTCAGGCAGTTTGTTTACACCGTAATACTTCACTCGAACGTATGACAGGCATTGAAAGCATATAAGCACATCAACGTGAACTAACATGAGGTGGGCACCCCTTAAAAAAACTAAGCAAGCTTTGCAAAGCTTTCGTTCTACACCGCACATACCAATTATGACTTGATATTGCTCATTGTGATGCAAAAGATATGACGTCACAGTCTTATGTAGAAAAGCACCAAATTCAAAGCTCTCTGTTGTCCCCCAAACCTAAAATACATTCTCTTCGTAGATTTCTATCGTGTTTTCTGCATGAAATGTATTGCCACACATCCTTTGAATATTGTAGTAACCGCAACTTTGCATTTTGTAACCTGTAATTGTAGGTATAATTATTTAGATATGCCTACCGAAGGTACTATTTAACGAATGTTAGCTTCAGCGGTGATGCAGCCATCAAACAAACTGTTTCAATCAGAGGGGATTTATATTTAACTTATAGCCTCTGATTGACCAATCAGAATCGAGTAATTTCCCAATTCATTGTAGAATTACTTAACAAAATAACGAGAGAAAAAAAAAGATATTTTTGTACAGTCTGCACACACATGGAAGATCTTCACTGAAGTAAGTTGACATGAAACATCTTAATGGCGTCATAGCACAATTGTCTCCTAGCACCCGCGAGGTCTCTTTTCTCCTGGTGGGTCACATTTGTCTAACCGCAAGATCAGTGCCATATAGAACAATACTGTTTTATCTTGAGTATAGTGCGCACTTTTCCCCCCAAAAAAAAACAGCTGTGTAGAAGGGGGTGCGCATTATACACGCCATAATGAGTTTTGATCTTTTACTGTGAGCACGTAACACCGGAAATACCATGTCAACAAATCCCTACTGAAGTCTGCAAATTAATCATGTAATTACACTCTCTACAGCTGGTTATAAAAAGTGTTCATTGTATATCTGGACTTATGTTTGCAACTTATTTCATTAATTTTATTGTTTTACTAATTTCCACGAAATCGTGTGTGAAGCGATTGGAAGATCGCACAACTCACTGTTAGTAACAGCAACCACGGTCAGATTACCAATATTGACGTCTTGAAACAAACATTAGTTGACAAAGAATGGATACATATATCATAAATGCCATACTTTGACTCGTCAACATGTAGTTCTCGCAATCACGTGCGCGGGAGCCTCTACGGTGACTGGTCAAATTGTTTCATGTGAAAAAAAATAACCGGCAATCGCAATCAGCTATGCTTAGGGTTATTATTATTTTTAATATATTTCATTAAAGCTGCTAATAAAATAACATGATATTGGAATATATTATTCCTGATAAATAGTTTCAGATACAATATTTCCCGATCCTTGCATTAAAATCATTTAAAGTTATATTATTGAGTAAGTTTTAACTGAATCACCGGTAGATTCAAAGATTAAGTGTGTACATCTGATTGCTGTTTCCGACTTAGTTCACAAGAAAATACACAGGGTAATCTTAATCAGAACAAAAAAATACAATTAAAAGGTAGATCAACATGTCTGGTGATTTGGTACCTCAAATTTCCAATTTGTACTGATCAAGTTTCTTATCACACGTTTGTTTACCCGAATTCGCTGAAAGGATACGGTGTAAATTTTGGCGCCTAATATTTGATATTTTTTTTCCAAAATACTGAATCAGCTAGAGGGGTGTGTGCATTATACTTCAGTGCGCACTATACTCAAGAAAATACGGTAACACATACCATCTCCCTCGTCATCATAATCGTCCAGGCCATATTTGGAAACAATGTCCTCATCCTCTACTTCTTCATCTTCTTTCTCCTCCTCATGTTTCCGTTTTTTGGCTTTCTTTTTCTTTTTTGTTTTCTGACTTGTATCCTCAACTTCTTCTTTTATTTTTCTGTGGCCTCCCGCGGCTTGCACTTCTTCATCTTCTGGATCATATTCATCCTCCAGTTCATCCAGCTCTCTGAACAAATAGAGGCATTGTGACACCGGGATAGCATTATTCAATGATGTATTGGTGTGAGTGGTAGGCGTGCAGTGCCTTATATTTTACCTGCTATATATACTTTTTCCACTCACTTATTGCAAAAAAACTATATTTCTTTCCATCATATTGACAATTGCTGGCCATTCAATTTTTCCATCATAGAAGGATCATGAACAACATGTTGAAGGATATCTTAAACAGTGATCTATGAATTGCCATTTGACCACTCACAATTGCAAGAATATCAAGCCTATGCTTTATAATCATTATATAGGCATCGTGAGTCAGATTCTGACTAAAGGAATGCGATGATGATGTATTACATACTCTCGAGTGGCCTGAATAACTTTCTTCAAATCCTGTTTGTCAAGCTCAACCTGAAACAAATAGGCAGATATTCCAAATTATTATGAAATTGCTCAAGATCTTGAAAAGCTTGTTTCCTCTGTGATTTGTTGTTTAACACCACACTCAGCAATTATCCAGCTATATGATGGCGATCTATAAATAATTGAGTCTGGACCAGACAATTCAGTGATTGACATCATGAGCATAGATCTACACAAATGGGATACAATGACATGCATCAACCAAGTCAGCGAACCTGACCACCCGATCCCATTAGACGCCTCTTACAACAAGCATAGTCACCTTTTATGGCAAGCATGTGTTGCTGAAGACGTATTCTAACCCAGATCTTCACGGGTCTCCCCCGTGGGGATTTTCAGTTAGAATAGGTTCCCTACAACCTTTGCTGGTCATAAGAGGCGACCAAATGGATATATATCACGCAATATATTGTTTGGGACTTGTTACCTGTGTCTCAGGCCACATTCATATGTTCAGCAAGATCTGATATGTTTACACACACCATTACGTATCAATGCTGATAAGTATTGCAGTACATGCACCATCTATAGGCAGACTGCAGTGTGACTGGTGTATGCTACACGGCTGATCTGCAATCTTCCATTTCTAAATTCACCCGGTATATAGGGCTTCACTTGTATCTGCAGTTTTCCATTTCTAGATTCATCCTGGTATAAAGGCCTATCCATTACCCTCGTGAACCTGGTGCTAACCTTAATGAAGTACCCAGTTAGTGTTTGTTCAGTCAGTAGTTTCAGGTACAGGAATGTGTAGCTGTACACACATAAAAATATTGTTTCACAGACCCATGTATTATACGAGGGCGGGGCCACATCTTAGCTGAAGGTCAGTGTACCGGGTACTGTTCTGTATTCTGATTTTGGCTAGGGTACATTTCTGTATACAGACACATACCTGAGGTACATACATATCTGTGATACCCGTGACGACAATGACCCCTTCAGCCAAATTTACTTGTTACAGCTGTGATTTCCTGTGTTATTAGATACATGATTAATCCACAGAGCATAGCTTCAGCGAAATAATTTATTGTATCCAAACACACAAATATGTTACAGTGCAATATGTTCCACATTATTATTATTATTATTATTATTATTATTATTATTATTATTATTAATATATTTGTTGAAACAAAACTTTTTAGAGAATACGGGCTCGCTGCAAATAGACCAAATCCATTACACTTATCTAATAATATTCGAGACAGCCTAGAACAGAAAGTAAAGTAACTAACGGTTGCTGACACTAACGTTTAAATGAACATATGTGTCCCTTTCCCTGATAATATCTCGTTTAACCGATCTGCCGAAGTTGTAATCTTACCTTGTGTGGATTCCTTTCTGCAACACCTCTTTTCACCCACGCCAGACAGGGAACAACATTCATTGTCGATATTTATCAGAATCGTAGTTTGTATTTATAAACAAACCCCAAAACCTCGCCATGTGGATAAACCGGATGTGAGACGAAGTTATCGTTCTTGTATACTAAGGGCGACAACCCTTCACTTAGCGGGAAACTGGATTGAGTATCCATATGAATATTACATATGCTGACGTCTCCTTTAAATTATCAGAGCGATTTTCGTGTGTGTTTTTTTAAGCGATATAATATTTTGTGATTCTTACTAAGTTAAGTGAATGTGTTGGGCGCAAATAGACCTTCTGTTGGCCCACGTCACCCTTCTACCACCACCACCACCACCACCACCACAGCGACGGATTGTTTTCTTAGTTCGAGCCTAGCAGTTGAAAGTGATCTATGGTTTAACACATCATATTTCAGGAAATGGAATTAGGACAGGGATCAATATAAAAGAAATATGATTAGTGCCATTTTGTAGAACAAAATTTTCACTTAGGCCTATAATTTGTCTTTATCCTACTCTGAAGCAGGATATGGTGATATTAGCAGAATAATCTCATAGTGTTGATATGTTTTCACGTTTAACATTTAGGATATATAGAACATTTGAATTACCCCGGTAAAAAAAACTACGAATAGCCAAATAATGTAGGCATTATCGATGAAATGATAAGGGGACATATAAAGATTATAATACGAGCATGTGTGTCAGACTGATTTTACGAAACGAGAGTCATAATTCTTGAATTTACCGAGCGAGAGCGGTGGTAATACATTAAATCTTCCACGAGTTTCAGCTTGACACACATGCGAGTGTAATAATTTGTTTTTACCCATTATTTCTTAATTCTTTTGAGCTGCTCCCGTTTAGAGAAATGCACTGATCACGACCGCCGTCTTAGAAAACCACAATTGTCGAATGACGTCAACAATCTTCGGCTATGACGTCGTTTCTAGTGTGACGTCGTTCCGACCTTATGTCACAATGTGATTCGAATGACGTCAACAATGCCGTTCGATGATATAACAACCCAATCACATTAAAATAGATCTTAGTTTTTTGTTTAGCGATAGCGAGAACTAAGATCTGATGTTAATGAGGTTGTATAACAACCGTTCGCATGGGTTGTGAGATAAATATTACAACGAAGTATCATTTGGATGATCTATCTACTATTATAAACACTTGTCCTTTTTTTAATAGTTGACACCTTTTTAGTCCTTGTTCTTTCGTAACTTTTGCGAGTTAATGATCAAGAAACGTTGGTTAGTTGTTTTGTTTTGCGCCGCACTCAGCAATATTCCAGCTATATGACGGCGGTCTGTAAATAATCGAGTCTGGACCAGACAATCCAGTGATCGATATCATGAGCATCGATCCACGCAATTGGGATCGATGGCTCTTCAACCAACCCGTTAATCGCCTCTTACGACAATCATAGTCGCCTTTTACGGCAAGCATGGGTTGCTGAAGACCTATTCTACCCCGGATCTTCACGGTTCTCAAGAAACGTACAACTTTATGGATAACAACAGCTTTGGTTTATTGCATTTAGCGACGTTTGGATGGAGATTCTTCCATCGTTATCAAGCTGGAGTGACTACAACAACAACAGTTTATCCTTATCCTTACAGCACAACCGGCTTCATCCAGTTATCTGTATGCTACTTGTTATCCGTCACCTGTTGCTGTTAATCTAAACATCGCTAAATGCAATAAACCAGAAGTTGTTAGCCATAAAGTTGTACGTTTAATTATTTACTCACGAACTTCTGGAATGCCAACCAAAGAGTTGCCTCCACATGCAGATTAATTACAACTGCTCTCCCTAGAGTGGCACCGGGCCGTGGAATATCTCTCTCCTGCTCAACATATCAACCACATGGGAACTAATACAAAGTACAAGGTATATGGTATCAAGCCTCTGTGGGTCTTTTTCTGACGGGCAAACATTAATACGTGCTTTAAGGTTTCTTGTAATCAATAAGTATTTAAACATATCAAATCGAATCCCAGAATCCACCCAGTAACGATGTTGACTCACTCCGCATCATATACCAGTGAGCGAGGGTTTCACAGATCATGGCCTAGGACCTTTGTGGTTTTGGGTTTTCCACAAACATTTCGCTGAAACGCCGTGAAGTAGCTGGAATATTGAGATCACCTCTCGGCAATGTAGCCCCTGGACATTATCTACTGGTGGGAATGTTTCAAACGTTCGAAGATACTCCCGTATGGAGACCTCTTAGGGGATTGTTTTACTGAAAATACACTCTTCGGGGATTGTTTTACTCAAGATACTCTCTTCGGGGATTGTTTTACTCAAGATACTCTCTTCGGGGATTGTTTTACTCAAGATTCTCTCTTAGGCGTTGTTTTAAACAAGTTACTCTCTTCGGGGATTGTTTTACTAAAATACTCTCTTAGGGGTTGTTTTAAACAAGTTACTCTCTCTCTCGCCCTGATAGGACAATCACTGAGCGGGACACCCTTGGCGTCAATATGGGTCTGGTGCTCTTTAGGTCTTTGTGTAGATTTTCAGATGATGAAATAAAGTCATATGTGAAATTAAGTACCTCTCTGTTATAAATGATGAACCAGGGTACTGGCCGCATTGAGCTCGACTGCATTGCTGTTCACGCAGACACGCACAGACCATGGAGATGGAACATTTGGATGTGCTAATTACTGCACGTTGTGTTTTGTCTTATGATACACTTTATTTCGTTTTTGTTTAAAAAAATACGCTTGGGTTTATAAAGGATGAGGATGTTTGTGGATATGTAGACGCATCGGAGGGACTGGTTGATATATTTTTACTCGTACAAAAACTCACACCTTTAGGGTTTGTTTTCCTGTTATGAGTGAGTAAGTGGATGAGTATGGTTTTACGCCGCTTTTAGCAATATTCCAACAATATCACGGCGGTGGACGCCAGAAATGGGCTTCACACATCGTACCCATATCGGGAATCGAACCCGGGTATTCGGCGTGACGAGCGAACGCTTTAACCACTAAGCTACCCGACCACACTTTCCTGTTATGAAGATCACCATTTTGGGGGTAAGTTACTTACCTGAAGATCAACTTTGGGTTAATCTTTACTCGTATGAAAATAGCCTCTCTGGGGGGATATTTACTCGTGTGAAGACTGCCTCTTTTGGATTATACTTACTCATATATGAGAATCAAGGTCACAACTCTGGGGGAATCTTTCCTTGTGAGAAGATTCGCTGTCAGGAGAATGTTTGTTCTGCTGACGACACCTTACAAAGGGGATTATTCTCTCGGAGAAATGTTGACTCACCTCTCATATCAGCGCACCACAAACGAGATGTTTAAACATGTGTTTCGTCTGTCATCTATTGACCTAACACATGCCCCAAAGCTGGTATATCAGATTCTGTATTGAATCCCGTATGGGGCCTCTGACGCACCAGACATGATTTTCATTCATCTGCAGATTACCATGGACGAGAAGGGTTTCTTCTGTTGTTAAGTTTATCTCGAACAATATGGCAAGTATGATATATAACAAGCATGGGCACCTTGTTTACATGACCAAAGAGGTTATCTCTATGAACAAGTCTCTTTGAAAAGTATTTCATCAATATCATTGCATGTTTATGTTGAGAGGGAAGCCCAAAGTGATGCAGTGAAGGATGTTTGCTACTTCTGTGAAATCCGTGGTGGCCCCAGGATCATAATCAGTGAGATTCTGGGTGTTTGAACCAGCAGATCCTGGCATGCCAAAGGGACACAACTGTGCACAGAAAATAGTGTGGCTAAAACTACAGGGTCATCCTGCCAATTTGATTTCATGGGATTACATAACATCTTTGAACTTCAAACAAATTGTCTTCTTACCAACACTGGTGCACACCTAACAATACAGAAGCTCATACTTAACAATAATGTCAACTGTCAAGGACTGGATAGGCATTGAAACCCATCTTGAGTCTTGTGTTTAGCAGAAATTCTGAAATAGCTGGCATGAGAACTGACATTGAGAAAAAACATCACTGAAAAAGTAACTTGATTTTTCGTAATGGAATTTGATCAATGAAAAAATATACTCTGTAAAATATACTGTATGTCTGGTGTATATCTCAACCTCATAGATTCCCCTCTAAATGTGTACACTTCGAGTAAGCAGAATGGTGTTACACGACTCTCAGCAACATTCCAGCAATAATTACACATTAGACACAAAAGGTTGGAATCATGCATTGTACTCATGTCTAGAATCAAACCCAGACCTTCAGTGCAAACTTTATTACCACTATTCCATTCCACTGCTCCCAGTGCACAGCCAGATTGTCTGTTTAATTACTAAATGTCACCCTGTAATATTTCAACGAATGCTTCAAGGTCATCCTTGTCTATCCAGTGTATTGTATGAAGCTCATTATTATCCCGGTCAATGGACCAGTGCGCACTTGATTTTTCATTCTCAGCCACCTGGGGAGTATACAACATGACCATCTCATCCTACTGGGAACCCATTTACTGCTGGGTGAACACAGGTCAAAGTAATTTGCCTAAGGAGACACATGAACCACATGAAGCCCTAGAAACTGAGCCACATTGCCAAACACAGTCAACTTTCCATGGACTATCAGTCAGCTTCACTTCTCCTGATTTATGACCTGTGCACGAACCACATGCCATGATAAACACCCTGGATCCATCCACCACCATCATAGCTTCATTTCGAAGTGATGTTGCCAGCTCCAGCTCTCTGATCACTAGCTTATCACAGAATTTCTTCTGTTCATGAATTCTTAAATCAACAACCAATCAAAGTACCTCTTCCAAACACAAGTTCGGTTTAGATCTAATTTCAAATCTTAGGCTTCGTCCCTGCAAGCATTCAATACATTTGATTGAACCAAAAGCCCCTTACAAAGGAACTGTTACCTGGAAAATATGTTTTGCTGAGTACGAAAACAGCGGTAGAAACTAACATTTTTAGTCCACTAGTCCTCATAATGAAAACATATAGCAAAACCCTTAAAAATGGCAAATTTCTACTAGTCCTTATGATACCTTAACTATTGAGCAGTTTGGCAAGGACTACGGGACTAGTGCCAATTTCTAACGCTGAGAAAAC